GTTGACACCCACCCCTTGGCGCTCATATGACCTTATGCAGTTGCGAGTGCCGTAAAACCTCTATAAAAAATAAAAAATAAAAAAAAATCTTTGACTCCTATAACCAAATTGTGCTGCGAGTGCCATTAATTTCATTAAACTGACTAAAACTAAACTAAAACTTAAAAGGAGAGCTTAGAGATCCTCCTATGGGAGATAAGACCAAGCTTATCAGGACTTTCTTTAGCAACAGATCCACCAATATTTATGTTGATATGGATATGAAAGTGAACAATGTTGTGTCAAATAAATTTGTTTTCCTGTCCTTAAATAGTTGACAATTATGTGTTTTTGATTAAAACTGCACTTCTTGGGGACATGGATACCGATATTGTACACTTAACTTTTACTCACATTGGACTTATCTGCATGTTAGTTTTGCCCATCTGGTTTAGTTTGGTCCTTAACTGCATACCTCTGGCCAGCGGCTTGCAGTCAGAACCGTTGTGCTGGTGAGGTACTGGCAGTGGTCCGTGCATCTCTTTACAATGACTTTGGTGTCAAATTACTGATTACTTTTCGACATTTGCCGAAAACAGGTCTCTTTTACTGGGAGTTCATTCATGAGATGAAGGACTATCAAAATAGTTTCACTTATTTTGATTTAATCAGTCTAGTGACATGTGTCACTTTTACATTTTGCTCCAAAAGAGGGCCCTGGCATAGTGGGTTTACACCCTCCCTCCCGAGATTTCATAAAGAGTTAAAGAATAATATATGGCTGTCCATTTTTCATAATCATTTTTATGAACGGTGTAATTCTTTTGATATTATATAACCCTTTTTAATTTGCCTCTCAGATGCAGATCCTTACAAGCCTGAGACAGAGTTGTCTGCAGAAGTAGCTATCAGGGAATGGAGAAAAGTGACAGGACTATGTCAGCAGAGGAGCGGATTATACAGTTGGAGAGACTTTTCTTGAATGGTGTTTCTAAATCAAGTGGGCAAGCAGTCAGTGTTGAAACCCTTCTTGATGCTCTGCTGGTCCTGTATGATGAGTGCAATAGTGCTGCGCTGCGCAGAGAGAAAAATATCAGTGAATTTGTGGAGTTTGGTAAGAATCCAATCCAAAGGAGGATATGTTTACTCTAACTATTTTAGTGGTTTATTGTTTTGATGCTGATGATGTGGTCGTGTGGTTTTTAAAACTGTGCTTTGCTGTATAATCCTGTTTGAGATAAAGTGGCAAAAGTTAATGTTTGAAGTGACCGAATCTTCTTGCTCATGAGTTTGCGCATGTTTACAAACACTTCTTATTCTTTTCATATGATTTTATAATGGATGTTCACGAGTTCAGTTGGGGATGAGATGGGCCAGATTTTGTTATCAAAGATTAAGTTGGGTTAAAAGAGTGCAGCAGTGTCTTAAAAAATTTATTTGTTTTTGGTTGGGAGCCTGTATAGCTTGTTTTCTATATTTGCAATCTTTTAAGTTGGCAACATTGTCTTCTGTAAGTAAGACTGTGTTTTAGTTACTCTACTGTCTGGAGTTTATGCCTTCAGCATTTCAGGAAGATTTTGTTGTGTCTTTTAACATACATGTATTTTCTGTCTCCTTACAGCCCGTCCGGTTACAACAAATGTGCGTCAGAAGCGTCTTCAACGAGATGACTTTGAAACACTCAAGATTATTGGACGTGGGGCCTTTGGAGAGGTATTTCATCTTATATGAATCAGAGAGCTGTTTATTCGACTTACAATCATTTGTAATGCACTTGAGCCTGAGCCATTTTTAGCCCAACAAACACTGCAGTCTGATTGTGTTTTCACGTATCGAAATGATAAGCCCCAAATGACTCTAAGCTATCACATTAAAGAATTGCAAAAGGAAAAAAAAACTGCACTCTAAGAATGGGAAGACTGATTCAATAGTTTTTATTTTATCAATATTTTGAAATGGCAGAGTGGGGGTTTCGCAAAAAAATTTTTCCACCCTCTTTGTATGCAGAAAATTATTGTAATGCCTGAAATAAACAGCACAATGAGTTAATTTTACTTCTGTGTGTTCTGAAGTAACACAGAAACTACTTTCAAACAATTAATTATCTCTGTATTTGAGCTTGATGTTGAAGAACATAAAACATGACTTTGAACGAGCAGATATTCTAATTCCTACTTTCACTTTCGTCCTGTTGTTCATGATCTGAACTACAGTGCCTATCAGTAGATTGAGTGGCTTCTGGCTTCTGGTGTGTATAATGGGTCATTGTTAGTTATAGCTTTGAGTTCACTATCAGAACTTGCAAACCTTTCAAATAAGTTCTATTTATGCACTTTAGAAGCAAAGATCACAACTGCAGTGGTGTTTGCTTCAGTTCACAGAGCTCTATGGCAATTCGGGGGGGGGGGGGGGGGGGGGGGGGGGGGGATTTTCTTAATCTGTCTAAGCTAAAAAAAAATATATAATAAAACTTCATTAAACTTTTAACGAAATGACACCTATGGGTAGGCTGCAGGCTGGCCACTTCCCATAGCTTGCAGGGGGAAAACACCAAAGGTATTTATCATTAATGCCCTCCCTGCGTATACGGAGGATCAGTCTCCTGTAAGTGCTCAGGAAGTGTTGTGAATTAACCCTATCCGTACGCACTGGGGTCATTTTGTACATTTTAGAATACTTCAAGTGCGAAGATCTTTTTGAAACTTTCAGTATTTCTCAAAAAATGGTGATTTTACTTACATTCATTAAAGAGCTTTAAGCTCTTCCTTTCAGTCGACTGAAGGGAAGATAGGTGTATGTTTAGGAAATTTCTTTCAAAAACTTTCTTGGAATGATTTTTTCCCCCTTATTTTCTTTGTTTCTTCTGAAAATGACAATATAAGACAAGGTTTATGCAGTGACTTCGATTTGTCATGACTTTCCAAAAACTGATGAATATGACCTGTCGTGTGGCCACATCATGTTTTTTTCCCTTGATTCTTTGTGTTTTCCCTGCTGCTAACAGGTTACTATTGTTGTTTTTTTTGCAGTACACAAAGTAAATTTGTGAGTATAATTTTTCTCATCTTCTTTTTTTTGTTTTCAGGTGGCTGTGGTCAAAGAAAAGTCGTCTGAAAATGTGTATGCAATGAAAATCTTGAACAAATGGGAGATGCTGAAACGGGCTGAGGTAATATTTTTAGATGGCTGACGTGCCTTTATTTATTAATTTGTTTGATTGATAATGTGAGAAGAGGTAATCTTTTGGACCTGTAAATGCTTCAGGGTGTGGGTTAAGTGCCTGCCTGTCTCATGGTAGTATAATACATTGTATAATGTCGGTCCCAGATGAAAGTTTTACCTGTCATGTAAAATCAACAGTTTTTATTTTACAGACATAAAATTTAGTACATACCTACAGAAACATGTCTTCTATTCAACATAATGACCGTTGATTTGAATGCTTTATCTCCCCCCCCCCCCCCCCCCAACGCTGTACACACACTCACACATATACACCTACTACACAGATCTTCCTGGTTTTTTTTTTACTCGACAATGAGATAAGCCAGTGAAGACTTTTTTTGTCATCATGTTTTTGTTTATGTTACTGTTATACTTGACTACAACCCTTGTCCTTGATACCCCAGGGAAGAAGACTATCCATGGCAATGTTATAGACTTTTCACCCTGATTACTTATCTTTTATTTGTTGGTTATGAAAAAGTATTCTGGTGGATGGGCAGCCCGGTATGATTCTTCAAAAAATGGTCCATTTATACAGTACCTGGTGGACAAATAGATGTGTGCAGCACTCTCAATCTTCCCTATGCTCATCAGTCAGCTGATAAAGAACCCATTTTTCAAAAAGCGTTTTGTTTTTAAGATCTTCCCGTGAGAATTCTATGAATTATCGTCTCTGGCCAAACAACTTCCGCCATAAATCTCACTTTTTTCACCTGTCTTCTTCAATAGATGTTTGAACCTTCAAAATAATTTGTGGGCAAACCCCCAAAATAAGGCGTCATCATGACAGTTTTTGGGTGGCAGAGTGCTGTAAAAATTGGTGTAGAGATTATACACATGTTGAAATAATGGGATGTTAAATTTCATAGTGTTTACTTGAAAAGCGAGTTAGGTATAGGACAGGGAAATTGTCTTCTGGGACAGACCTCATACTTCTTGTTGTTGAGCTCTTTTTTAGTAACCCATTTTTAGAATTATGAATATTTTCACGTCTACATGAAGGAATAATTCTTATCGATTGTTTTTGTTCGCAGACTGCATGCTTCAAGGAGGAGCGGGATGTGCTGGTCTATGGAGACAGGAGGTGGATCACCAACCTTCACTATGCGTTTCAGGATGACAATTACCTGGTGGGTTTTTGTGATGTGTAGTTACAAATTTTCCCCTCATAAACAAAGCTTAATTGTTTCCTCGGAAATTTTAATGACTGCTGGCGTAGATTGTTTAAGTGAATTGACGTATGTCTTGCGTGTTGCTGTTGAGTTCTCTGTCTTTGGTCAGTGTGTTTGAGTTTTGATTGTCATAGAAGATATTTCATGTCTTAGTGGTATTTCATGTCTTAGTGGTTGGTTGGCGGGTGCTCTGGTGTGGTCAAACATCTATCGTACTTATCTCCCCTTCTACTTTTTTATGTTTGTTGCTCTCTTGTAACACCTCTAATCTTCTGGCGCTCATATGACCTTGTGCAGTTGCGAGGGCCGTAAAACCTCTACTAAAACTAAAAAACATCATGTTTTAGTCTTCTGGTTGAATTGAATTGTGCAGATCAGCTCACACTATTATTATTGTCAGTCAGAGTGAGCTGCAAATGTGCTTACGTTTACATTTTAAAATATTGAAGGTGTGACAAAGTAGCATTGAAACAACACGAAATAAAGTAAAAGCCGCTCAAAAATAGGGGCTTGGAATGCTTCAGAAGGATTCATATGTGTATGAAAGCAACGTGGTATGTCATAGTACACAATTTGTAGTGTTTTATTGTCTCATTCAGGTCAGTGCCTTTCCTTTTTTACAGTATCTAGTGATGGACTACTATTGTGGCGGTGACCTGCTGACTCTCCTGAGCAAGTTCGAAGACAGGCTACCGGAGGACATGTGCAAGTTTTACATAGCAGAGATGGTGCTGGCCATTAACTCTCTACATGAACTCCATTATGTGCATAGAGATATCAAGCCGGACAATGTATTGCTTGATCGCAGTGGTCACATTGTTTTGGCGGACTTTGGGTCTTGTTTGAAACTCATGGAAGATGGCACTGTGCGGTCCTCTGTAGCTGTGGGAACACCGGATTACATATCTCCAGAGATTCTTCGGGTAAGAGTCTGTTTTTGTGAGTTAGTGTTTGTTTTTCAGTGCAGTTCATATTTGATGTTGAAGGGTGTATATGCTTTTTGCCTTGATATGATAGTGTGCAGTTTGGTAACCTTACTGTCTTCTCCATTCTCATTTTCCGTAATGTGTATTTCTTGCTCTTCATTACATATTGAAATATAATAGTGTATCTGTTCCATAGTTATCTGCTTTAAACATGCCTGTTCGTATTGATATCCTCATGTGTTAATTTTATTGGTGTTGGTTTCAGGCGATGGAAGATGGACATGGCTGTTATGGACCAGAGTGTGACTGGTGGTCTCTTGGTGTCTGCATGTATGAAATGCTGTATGGGGAGACGCCTTTCTATGCTGAGTCTTTAGTGGAGACCTATGGCAAAATTATGAACCATCAGGTGTGTTGTGTTTCATGTCCTTGTTCTTTGGACCTTTTACAATGGACAGAATTATTTGATATGGCTGAAGAAAGTGGAAAACTGGGCCATCTTTAGTTTGTTTTTGGTGTCAGTACTACTTCAGCTACTCATTAATGTTTCTCTTCTTGGTGCAATGTTGAAGGAAGGTGAGGTCTTTTAAGTTTTCATTTTATGATAAAAACTACATATATAGTTCTTGAACTTTTTTTTTCTGAAGTGAAAGCCTTTTGACAGTATATTTTTCTTGAGATGTGGAGTTAGATAAGAAATCTCTTCAAGGAAGGTCTGGCTTGAATGAAAAGTATTCATCTGTCTTTGCATAAACCAGGCACACGCGATGCTTTCTTAGTGCTTTTTAAAATTATTTGTAGATTCTGTCTCTTGTTGTGAGTAAGTGTTCTTGTTTTCATGTGTTTCAAACCTATGATCTTTACTGATGTTTCAATTATATGCATATTATATTATAACTTTTAATTTTTATACAGATTCATTGAAAAAGAGCTAATTCTGTATTGTTGGGTACCTTTTTTTTAACATTATGAGTTTGTATGCTTATGGCACATGTTTCAAGTTAATTTTCTTAATGGGTTTTTTTTTTTTTAAAATCCTCAGACAAGATTTGAGTTTCCCACTGATGCAGATGATGTGTCTACGGAAGCCCAGGATCTGATAAAAAGGTTGATTTGTACTCCAAATGACAGATTTGGAAAAAACGGGTTGGAGGATTTCAAAGCTCACACCTGGTTCTCTCAAATTGATTGGGATAATATACGAGACAGTAAGTGATACTCATTTCCATGCTGTAAATTGTTTCAAGTTGTTTAATGTGCTGTGTTTGACAGCGAATGCAAAGCTCAATGGTCAATCTCTGTATCAGCTTTACTGGTATTTTTTATCAAATCAGTACTTTTGTGCTTCCAGATTTGCTTTCCTTCACACATATCTGGAAGAAAAAGGAATGGAGCAATGATGAGTCTTTATCAATTGCGCTATGATAATCTAGACTGATTATAGACAGCAGTTTCTGAGCTCCAATATAATGTATCTAAGGTATTTCCATGGACTGATTTTACTACGTTACTTAATTTGTTTTTTGTTTTTTTCAATGTTTTTACACTGCTTGGTTGAAGCAAGTTTAAAAAATGATTTACGCTTTCTTTCTTGTACTTTGAGGACAGATTTGATTCATGTAAATTTTCAGTTGAGGAGGTGATTATATTCTCTTGGTAAAAAATTTGGTGTGAAAGTATAATAATATATGTGAGTCATCATAGTGAAATCAGGCGCTGGTCAAAATAATTAAATCAAAGGAAGTGTCATTTTTGTGGTCGTGCAATTTATAAAAGAATTTTCTTTTTTTTTTGGCTCGACACCTTTTATGTCCATTTACAATTACATAACTGCGTGGGTTTTACTGATTCCACCACATTTTGACACATATGCGAAAAATAATATTAATAATATATTTAATAATATTGATATATTTACTTTTCGTATAAGATATTAAAAGAAGTGTTTGAATCATACTTTTTATAGTTTCCTTTTTAGTAAGTAAAAAAAACAACCGTTATTGTATTTCAACATTATAAAAAAAACCCTGGTGTAAAGGTGTTAAATTGTAGCCCTGCTTTGTGAATAGAAACAGTTACAGATAATTATTTGCAGTCAAATTTTTACCACCTATTTGAGTTCAGGGAACCTTTAAAAATCCCAGGTTTATATAGGCCTGAAGTAACAAATGCAACTGAAAAGTGCTCAGAGCCTCTGTACTTTAATCGGGGTTGAGCGCTATATAAATGTCATTTATTCATTTATTATTAGGCATCAAATTTTGGTGTTGAAGATACAGATTTCAAATACACCGTAAGATTCATTACTTTTCTCTTTAGTTACAACAGTTATATGTTTCTCACTCTCTACCTCTCTTGAAATAGTAAGAGCACTATTGTTCATCTGTTTACCACAGTTCTGTGAAGTAGGTACAGTGCTTTCATGGCTATATCAGAGCAATGAGGAAAATGTAATGTTCTGTGAATTCTGTGATCTTTGAATCGCTATTCTGAGCTCTGGCTTTAATGTATTTTATCCTAAAAAAAAAAGATTTTCACCACCTGTTTTTAGTTCAGGGAATCTTAAAAAAACCCAGGTGTATATACATATATAATATGTGTTGTTTTTTTCCCTTTTTCAGTGGATCCACCCTATAGGCCTGAAGTAACAAGTGCAACTGATACGTCAAATTTTGATGTTGAAGATACAGATTTCAAACACACTGTAAGATTCACTACTTTTCTCTTTAGTTACAACAACTATCATATGTGAGGTGGGCGATGAAATGAGTTACTTCTCACAATCCACAAATGTAGATATTGGCCAAAAATACACACTTATGTCAAATTTGTAGATTTTCTATTGATGCTACATTCTTAAAGTATAACATGCATTTCATTATTTCATACTTATAAATTGTATAAACTTCACCCAATGAGCATGATGTAGACTTCCATAGAGGGCTCGAATATGAGAAGTAACTCATTTTGTCTGCATGCGTCACATATGTCTCACCCCCTACCTCTCTTGAAATAGTAAGAGCACTATTGTTCATCTGTTTACCACAGTTCTGTGAAGTAGGTACAGTGCTTTCATGGCTGTATCAGAGCAATGAGGAAAATCTAATGTTCTGTGAATTCTATGATCTTTGAATCGCTATTCTGAGCTCTGGCTTCAATGTATTTTATCCTTTTTTATAAAAAGAAAAGGTTTTTACCACCTGTTTGAGTTCAGGGAATCTTTAAAAATCCCAGGTGTATATACATATATATAATATGTGGGTTTTCCCCCTCTTTTCAGTGGATCCACCCTATATGCCTTCAATATATTTTTTAATACTTTTTTTTAGATATAGATTTTTTTTTCTTCAGATCGATAATTTCCATTCTGAAGATTTAAAAAAATGAGTTACCCAATAAATAAAAAACTATTATTTCGTCTTTTTTCTTCAGGACACTGTTCCTCCCACATCCCATGCCACATTTAAAGGTCATCATCTTCCTTTTGTTGGATTTACTTTCACCAAGGACTGGTAAGTTGGCTATAACATTTTTTTCTTTTGCCTCATGCTTCTTTTGTAAATGTCACTTACAAAGTATTTGTTACGGAAAGAATATCTTGGAGCAATGAAGAGTAAATCAATTGCGCTATGATAGAATGAACTGATTATTGTTGTTTTATGTTTCTGAGCTCCAGTCTCATATATGTTAATGTGAGCCCTCTTTTGTGGATATATATAGAATCTGGTAAATATTTGTGGTTGAAAGAAGTGTTTATACTTTATTCTTCCCCAGCTATGTATTTGGCCAGCAAATTATATTTTCTAGTGTTTTGATCTTTTTAAGTTTTAATGGACGTGTATCGCTTACTATGTTGACTGCCTTGCTGTATCAGACTTTCAGCTAAGAGCAGTGTTTTCAGGATGATGCCGGCATTCTGCTTTTTTTAAGTCCACTGTGACTGTGGGTCACATAAAAAAGTTGGCAGAATCCGGTGACATTTTTTTCTCCCTCATTTGTGAACTGTTAGGTAACTGGTAAGCCATCTTTGTGTGTTTTTTTTGTGTTCTAGTGTTTAAACGTCATTTGTTTTAGAGGGATTTTGAAACGAACTTGTATGAAGTATTAGTGCCAATTAATCTCTGTATATATTGTTTTTTTTTCTTTCAGCAAATTATCTGATTTAAGCAGACTCTTCCCAAATGAAGAAGAAAACGAAGACAAGCGCAGTGATGTTCAGAGCGAGATTTTCGAACGCAAGATCAAAGGTCTAGAGAAAGAAAACAAAGAACTGAATCGAAGGATTCAAGGTAATTATGTTGTAATACTTCTGCATATGAAAGTGTATTGCGCTTCTTTCCTTGACAAACTCTCCCCCCTTAAATTAATGCAAAGTTGTCAATTTTTTTAATATCGTGGTTTTGTTCATGTTCTTGCAATTTTGCAGGCTTCTGCAAAGGGTGAAGAATCATATTGGATCCTAAAATATCAGAATTTAATTGGTGTGGGAAGTTAACAATATAAGCAAAAAATCATGGCACTTCAATGAGCCAGTCTGAATTAAAAGAACACTGCATTTGAAGGAGGATATCGTTACATTTCTTCGGAGCAATGAGGAGACAATTGCGCAATGATCCATTGTGAACAATGATTACCAATACGCTATACTCAGCTCCTTCTATTTTGATATTTTAAAAATGAAATGCTGTCAGCTGTCAAAATGACATTCATAGAGACTATGAGTCAGGGCAATGAAATGTGCATTTCGGTACTGATACGTTATCTGCATCTGCGGTTTATTGGTAAAGTTCTTCATCTTATTACATGCGAAAACTCTTTCATAGAAAAGTACTTTATTTAGTGTGTTTGTCTTTCTGTTTGGGATGCTATAGCTCACTTAGCCAAGCTTGGCCCTGGCAGGCAGAATAGAAGCAGTCTGCCTTGTAAGTGATCATAATTGTTTTTTTGAGTCTTGAATAAGAGGGGACAGTTCTAGAAACACGTAATTTAAATGTTTTCATTTTTCTTGACATTCACACTGGACATGGCAAATTTATTTCCTGCTAAAATCATGACAAAATACAGCCTAACATTTTTCCTACCATGGGCGGCTCTCGGATGTGGCCTCGCTGGACCGAGAGCTACAAAATATGGCTCGAGTAGCTCGCTGTCTATTCCAATCCAGTAACGAAAAGATCGGAAATTCTCGGCCGATCCATGTTTTCGAAATAATAGAAAAGACTTCCTGTTAGCAGATATGAAAGAAAATGTAGCACTGACAGACAATTTTGAGTCATTTCAGCGCTTTTTTCTGTCCCTTTCGACACGTAAAAATTAAAAGAAAAGTGCTGCCCTGACTTAAATATGTGTTTTGTATTTTCACTTCTATAATAGGTACACATACATAAGTCTCAGCATTTCTTTGCATTACGTGAGACAACCTACCTGGGAAATTTGAATGATGCTGTTTTTGTACTTTTTTAGTTATGACCTTTCAAAGCTGGAAAATGGTTGGATTTCATATGACCCCTTTGATATTGCATAATCACTTTTAGAAACCCCAAATATAATTGGAATAAATCTTCAATATTGTACCACCACCTGATAGATTATTTTTTAACTTTCAGTTTGATGGGCCATACGATATGGTTTACGTGTGTTTAGTTGGATGTTTTGACATTTTCCTGTGGTGGGTAGGGGTGTAAAAATAGGTCGGGGAAAAGCCCATGGCCAGTGGTGAATTTTGGTCTGGTAGGAAAAGAGTTAAGAAAAAGCTCAAAGTATAAAGATCACACACGGTAGACCCAATTTGAACTATGGAAAGCAGTGAAGTTTTTAAATTGGGTATAATTACATTATCTAATGGAGCAATGAGGAGACAATTGCGCAATGATCACAAAATTATGATTACCTATACGCTATACTGAGCTCCTTTTTGGTGATTGGTAGTCATTTAGTTTTTGTCAAATTTTGTTTTTAAAAAGCCGAAATCACAATTTACGTGCACCTATTCAGTTTTTTTGTGTAATGCAGTAGCATATTTCATTCTGATTTTCAAAATAATTTTGTATAGCATTTCAAGCAGTGGTCCTCTTTGGGTTTGATGGATTAGTTATCTTCCATTTTCAGAATCCACGGCCACTATTGTACAGCTGCAGAATGCAGAAGTGAATGGGATTGGAGCTGCTTCTGGTGCTGATGAGGCAGAGACACGGCAGCTAAAAGAGGAGGTTGCTGTTTTACATAGAGTGATAGCAGGTAAGTGTTCCTTCATAATTTATTAACAATGAAATAACCTGGATGTAGAAAGTAATGTCTTAAGATTTTTCTATGAAAAAAAATTAACTTCAGTTCCCTTGGCTGCAAAGTGACAAAATATTTAAAGGATGTCATATTTTATTTTGGAGGAGCTATGAAGAGACAATTGCGCAATGATCACATAATAATGATAACCTATACGCTATACTGAGCTCCGTCTGAAATGGAATTTCATTTTTTTTGTACGTGAAGATTATGGTTTAACTGCTAGTGTGACTCCGTATGGTTTAACTGCTAGTGTGACTCTGTCGTCTCATACTTTAGTGAGGTGGCGGCAAGTAAAGTTTTTGGTTTGAGTTTGTTGCTACCCTTGGATCTGTACCCAGAGGGTTGGTGTTTATTAAAAAGCTTTTAAAAGCTCATTTTGGTGAAAACGGGGGGGGGGGGGGATGTTCACTTTCAGTCCTGTTTCTCATCTAGAGAGTGGTAAAAGTAATACCAGTATGAAGTTCTTCAAATGAAACTTTCTCAACTAAGCTTGGATAGCAGTTTGGCTTTGTCACGTTTAAACAGAATATATCTAGGGTGAGCTTGCAGTATTTATCTGACTCCAAATTATCTTTCAGAATCTCAGTCTGAAGTTAGCACTTTGGAACAAGAGTTGAAGAGGTCAAGTGAAGTTGTGTTAGACTTGGAGAGGAGGCTTCGACTTTCAGAAGATGAAAAAACTGCTTTTGAAAAGGTATGTGAGTTTAGTGGAAGCTGCTGTTCTGTTTCGAGTTTTTTTTAATGTCTGTTAATTTTTCCTTTACCTAATGGTCTTTGAAAAATACTTTTTGTAGCTCGATTAGTCATGCTCTGAATGATTTTTTAAATTCAGAGAGGCATTGAAAGTTGAGCAGTATTTTTCATAATGGAACTCATCTGTGTAATGTTAAAAATAAGTGATATTTAAGCTTAGTTTGTATAGGTGTTTAGTATTTATGAGAATTTTGACTGACTGAATGTCGCTGATTTGTATCAGATTTTGTGATATGGAATCAGGTACTCGTCAATATGTGGGCATATGGAGCTATTAGTGTTACGTTAAGTTGATTTTTATTTTTTAAAAATCCGCATCTTAAATAGAAATGGAGATATTTGTGATTGTTGGAGGTAGGAGTCGCCTGATGTTAGAGGTAGAATTAGCGAAAAAATGACCGTCAAAATTTGGTGACTTCTAAAGCTTCAGTGTTTTTGGAAACTGCAAATTAAAATTTTTTGTGTGTGTTTAATCGTTTTTCAGTTAAATTCACATGGGTGTTTTTCAAGTGGGTATAAAAGGAGCTGAGCTTAAAAATTGAAAATTTTATGAAAATTGTCCAATGGATGAGAAAATGTCTTTCTACGATTTGATTATTTTGATGAATGCTTGATTTCACCACATTGCCACACTTTAACTTTTCTTTCAGGAACTGCAAGAGTGGAGGGACAAGTACAAGTCTCAAGCGAGAGAGCTGAAGGAGGCTCTGAATAAGCAGAAGCTTGCAATGGAACAATACACAGATATTAATGACCAGTAAGTTGCTGTAGCATGATTTATAAGTTTTCTGGTAAGTGTTTTTCGGCACTCTCAACTGCATGAGGTCATATGAGCACGTGGGACGTACCAAACATTTTCAATTGGTAGGAAATTAAAAATTTTGCACCGGTAGCAGCCAAAGCCTACTCTTATCGATTTTGGACCCCCAAGGGATCTTTAACATGCGCAACTTGCACCCGGGACCTCAGAGATTTTTCGCCCTTGGTCGAGAAGGCTTGGTGTAGATCGTTCCTACCAGAAGATCAGGGGTGTGGCTGAAAGACAGCAGTAAGAAGGAGTCAAGGAGTTGCAGTTGAAAGGCTGCAGAAAGGGTCGGGAGCCCAGTGGAATGGGCAAAGAGGGTGAGGGGGTGGGGGAAAAAGTGGAGACGAAAGCAGACGACAGAATATTGCAAGAGAGCAGTTTTTTGTTCTTCTCAATTAATGAAATTGTCACTTTGAGCTTTGGGACTTGGAACCCTTTGCTTAGAATAGATTTAGCGTTACACAAAGTGTTTTATTTTAATTTAAAATAGTGTCATGGATTTAGTTATCTTGTTTCATTTGGCCAGTGATTTATGTTGTTATTATGATCAATGTACACATGAATTTTTGTAGAGCTTTCAGGTTTTTAAAATTTCCATTTATCTGATTTATGGAAGTTTGAGTTTGAAATCTATGGTGCTCTTGAACTTTTGTTATTTTTTCAAGAATCTTTTCTTCTGTGGAGTACAGTCTTGTAAAATGACTTCGAGACAATGTTCAAAAGGACAGGTTCTGTTACTAAGGAGATTGAAGTAAATCTGATTATAAGCTGTAATTGAATCAGTACTTGGGATGCAGCTCCCGTGATTTGGGTTTGAAGTTTGCTGATGCTGGGGTTTGTTAGTTGTACCCAAGATCAGTAAAAAATTAGGTTAAGTGTGTTGTATGTGGCTCGGGAGTATTTTCAGAATATTGAACCTCTAACAGCAGTTCTTATTTCCAGTTGATGGAGTGTAGAATACGTGAACTTCAATGTTTGTTTTTTAATTTTCAACAGGCTGATGAAACTTCAGTCAAAAGTGAAGGAGTTGACAAGAGAGGTGAGGAACAAGGAAGAGGAGATCGAAGATCAAAGGAGAATGATTGACTCTCTCAAGTCTGAGAAAAGAAAAGGCGAAAAGACCATTAATGAGGTACGGTTTCCACCATGTAATATGTATGTTAGTAGCAGAGTGATTATTTACAAGCGTGTGTTAATGAAAATTAAGACAAGATTTTTGTGTTAATAAGAAATGTGGAATTCAGTAAAAGATGGTAGTAGCACTTTTCTTGGCATTTATTGGTTTATGTGTCATAGATGATGCTTTGTTATATTTCATAACATGCTTTAGAATCTGGATGGTGTTTTTCAGGGTTTTTTTATAAACCGTTATTCCTGTTATTTTCATTAGAAGAACAGTTATCATTCAAAGCATTTTTGTTTTGTTTTTCCACGTGATAGTTGTGTCTATTAATAGCCTTCTTGTTCGCAAATGCAATTTAGTAAATTTTCAGATATTTTCACAAAATCCCAGTTGCATCCCTGATTTGAATGTTGTATAAGTTGTCCAGAACAGAGGCTGTAGTTTTCTCTGTCAGCTTAGAGTGAGCAGTGTGGCTTAGAGTTGGAAAGTTAAGAAGCTTTGATGTCAACTTCTCCATTCTTCTAACAGCTGCAAAATCATCTGGACGAGGCCCGCTCTGAGTCTGGCAAGGAGAGACGTCTTAGAGAACGTGCAGAGCAGTATGCTCAAGATCTGGAGGTGGAGATGGAAAGCATCAAGAGGAAGCAAATGGGGAGGACAGCTGGTGCCAATGTGGTGGAGCTCACACAAGAAGTCTCTAGGTAAGTTTTTGGTGTGGATGCTTTGAAGATTGACTTGTTTTCTTGACATCAGTAGACTTTTGACGAGGTAAATTAAACTCACCCATAAGAATTTTTATTTACTGTGTTTTTCGATACATACTATGCAAACAGTGGCACACAATTCCAAGTTCCAACCTACTTCAAATTTTGTCTAATGTCTCAATGCTGATGCTGATCCCCATTTTTGGCTCAAGCTGATTTGTTTTGCTGAGTGGTGCCCTTCAGTGAAGATTTGGGTCTAAAAACTGTTGCCTTGGCATTGCTATATTTTTGTCGAACATGCATTATTAAATTCTATGTGGTTTCGTTAACTAATCTGATTACTCTTTGCTTGTGAATTGATTTCCTGTACACTGCTCAGTGTAAGTGAGTGTAGATGATTGAATAGCATGGTTATGTATGTTTATAGTTAGTGCAGCGTGATTTGTCAATGCCACCTTCCTATTGGTTCTTCACAGACTTAAAGCGGAGATTGAGAAGAAGGAATCGGAACACGAGGATAGAGTATCCCGGCTGTCTTCCAAACATGGCTGTGAATTGAATGAGGTGAAGTTCCAGCTGAAAGATACCGAAACGAAGCGATCGGACCTGGCAGATGAAGTGGCTAGAATGCAGGCCAAGCTTACAGAGCAGCAGAACTCTAAGGAGCTCCAGGAGCAGATCAGCACCCTCCAGCAGCAAATCGAGACTTCAGACCACAAGGTCAAGGCACTCACAGAAGATAACGAAAGAATGCAAGAGGAGTCGTCTTCTGTAAGTATCTTTGTGGTTGTGTGTGGTTTATGTAAAAAATTAGGCGTGCCTTGTGAACTTTAGTACGTTTTTTTGTTTTATCTTATGCAGTCTGCAGATGTCTCTTTAGAGGTATATTTTTGATGATGAAAAGAGTTCAGTTAGTATTTGCAATTTTTGTTCATGTTTGACTCGCTATCTAGTTTGAAATTTGGTAATTTTCTTCTGTTACACAGCATTTAATGTTGATATTTTTTCTTTTACTTTTCAGCAATCAAACAGGATTGACAGTCTAATGAGAGAACGCAGTCAGATGGAAGATGAAATCAGGGATATTTATGATAAACGAGAATCTGTTGCACAGTGGGAAGCCCAGATATCGGAAATTATCAAATGGTAATTTTTTAGATTAACATAGGTTGCCACATAAGTGTACTTATTGTCGCCTGAGAACTATTTTGTCCGAAGTGCCTCTTTACTTAAGCTCTGATGCGACGTTATGTCACCTTAAAGAATTAATAGTATTTTTGCAAGTTTTAATGCAGGAGCTATGAGGATAGTTTTTATATTGACCAAATAAAAGTGATTGTATTATACGCTATTCTGAGCTCCGAAGGTGTATGAAATGCTAGCTTCTTTGAGAAAATGGTTTTAAACCGGGGTAGACCTCTAGTGGGTTATTTTAGTTAATCTGTGGGGGGGTTTTTTTGGTCAACTTTCCTTCTTTGTTCTTTACTTTATCGTTGGGCCTTGTGTTGTATCGTCTGAAAACCAAATGTGAGGCATAGTGGTGAAATCAGGTGCTCCTCAAAATAATGAAATTGAAGATGTCGACATTTTTATTCCAGTTTGACAATTTTTTTCTACTATTTGTTTTTTAGCTCAACACTTTTTATCTCCATTTTAAAACATATTTCTGTGTGGATTTTACTGAGAAACACTGATTAAAGGCACAAAAAATGTAAATTTTCAGTTTACAAGGACTCTCAAGCTTTTGAAATTTCAAAATCTGGCTGCCATTTTCTTGCTAATTTTACCTCTGAAACCAGGCAACCCCAACCTCTTTCAATTGCAGTTTCTCGACCTCTATTTAAGGAAGGGGTGCAATTTTTTTTCATGAAAAGATGATCAAATGAACAAGCTTTAAGATGATGCCAACAACTTCAGATGACCAAAAATTGACTTTCTTGGTGTGGAGTCTGCTTCTTCGTCCTTTTTCCTATATTATTTTTCTGGCCAAATTATACTCACAGCTTTAACTTCTTTAATTACTTAAAAAGGATTTTGCAGCATCAGTTTCTAGGAACAAATTAAAAATCTTGAGATGCTTGACTGGCAAACATGATCTCTGCTCACTTTTTCCCTTTTTCTTGAAATGTGGCAATTTTTCCAGATTTCAGTCATTGAAAAGCTGGCAGGTCTGGTTTTGACCTTGTTCTTTTCTTGCACTTCCTTCATGTATGTGTATTGCAAATTGTATGAGCAGTGAGCTGCGTATAGCTGATCTTTGTTTGTTATGGAAACCAAAAAGTAACTGTGGTGTGTGTCATTTCCTCCAGGGTAAGTGACGAGAAGGATGCAAGAGGTTATCTTCAGGCACTGGCAACAAAGATGACAGAGGAGCTTGAGAATCTGAAAGTCATGGGAGTTCCAGGAGATGAAGTAAGTGTAAAAGATTCAAAGCTTCTGACGGTCAAGTTATGCATGCGTATTGTTTTATTTTTTAAAAAGAAATGCCTGTATAATTGTTTGTGACCCCTATGGAGGAATGTTTGTCATTTCATGTAAATTTGGTTTTAGTATTGCTACTTCTCTCCATATTGCAACAACAACAAAATTGAATCCAGAGTGATAAAAATTTTGACCAGGATAGTGAGGAACTAGAGAAAATTTTAATATCTCGTTGGTTCTGATTTTAACATGAGTAATGGTCAAATGATGTCTACTTTCCATAATCTCAATAAAAATATGTGGATGGGGTGTGTATTTTTCATACATTGTAGGGATCAGTTGCTAGATGAGGCTTGAATGCTCTTACACTTTTGATGATCTGTTCAGGGCAATGAGGAAGACCTATGTTTCTGTGAATCCTATGATCTTTGAATCGCTATTCTGAGCTCTGATGTAAATTGCCATTTTAGAATGGATTTTAGTTTTATGTTTGTACAACTATTGCTTTATGGTGTTTGTGATGAGTAATCTCAAGGGTAATTGAAGGGGGTGTTCATGGTTAATTTCTTGTAAGTTGGTTGCTGTACTGTCTTTTGTGTTGTTAGTCTAACCGTAATGGCAATTTCTAATTGAAAGTATGTCCCATTGAAACTGAGCTTTATTTTTGGATCAAAACTTTCCATACTTAAGTAATGTTTGTGCATTTTGTTTTTTTAAACTTTTTTTTTCACTGTTCAATTTTGTTGTGCTTTTGAGGTGATTTTTGGGGTTAGGTGTAATTGAGAGAGGTATGCAAAAATGTTATGGCATGGATTTTCTATTATATATATATTGAAAAGAATCTTGGAAACTCTATTTCTCTTACTGAGAGATTCAGTTAATACTGGAACAACAGAACACTGCCATTTTTTATGTCCTAATCAGAGCAATGAGGAAGATCTATATTCTGTGAATCCTGTGATCTTTGAATCGCTATTCTGAGCTCCTGATTTGTGTCGCTGGAATTTTTTTGGGATCCATTTCATATATATGGATTGTTTCATTTGGTGCATAGTCTAAAGTGATTGAAGGGAAGAGGGAGTGAAGGTTGTTGATATTTTGATCTTTTTTGTGATTGAGGGGTTGCACTGAAGTGTTGCAGCACAAACCATATCAGTGACACCTCATCAAATGATTAATTAAATAAAGTGTTTTTTGAAGGAATTTCTGTGTGCTTATTTTTTTATACCAGCGTACGTTTTATTTTTTTAAATGAAAGAACAAAAAACAACTGTTTCCTAACAGAGTTTCTTATTTCCACATCTCTCACAGAGCCGACCCAGGTGGAGGAACAGGAGATCTCAAAAGCTGGACAAGATGGAGTTGCTCACACTTCAGTCTCAACTCAACTCTGAACTGCAGGCCAAGCAACAGATCAGTGCTGAGTTGTCGAGCACCAAAGAGGAACTCATGCTGGCAGAAAGGTAAAGAGCCAACCTGATAACATTTATACTCTCCCTTTCTTCAGATGTTATATGTAACAAAGCTGTGCATGTGATACTTCTGGTTGAGATTTTTATTACAGTAAACATTGTTTATGTATTTTATTAAGAATGGATGTTTTAAACAAGTATCAGTAAAGATTTTTTTTTTCTTTCTATACAGTACGCTTTAACTCCTGTTTGTGGGGCTCTCATGGTCGAGAGGTTTCGGTGTTTGCCTCTCATTCAATAGGTCTCGGGTTCAAATCCAGATAGTGATGGATTATTTTCTGCTCTAAAATTGTCTCTTTTCACCTCCCGTCCTTCTGTAGAGTGTGTCTTAAAATCAGACGATTTTTTTGCAACCTCAGGTACCATAAGACATGCTTCATACAGGATTTTATAACTTCATCACAATAGCTTTGAACAGAATTTTAGTGGAACACTAATGAAAGATTTGAAGTATGTGATAATGATAATGTGCAAATCTTGTAACTATTTATGTTTTGAAGGGGACAGCAACATAACTGAAAATGCTGTCATGGCTAGCCGAAATTGGGTTTCAAAATCATTGAAAAAAATCCTTTGTCACCAAGGGGCTAAGATATATAAATATTGGAGCTATGAGGATATCTTGATATTGATCAATTTGGCATGATTGTATTATACGCTATTCTGAGCTCTGTTGAATGTGTTCCTGGTGTCTCCCCACCATAGGGCCGGGAGGTGGTATTAGAGAGTAGTGTTGTACTTGATCAAAGTAGGCAAACATACAAAAGGGTTTAGAGAGAAGAAACTGAACAGCTGTGGACTGAGACTGAGAGGAATTTCACAGATAATTTTTAGGTGTCATTTTTCTACAAATTTTAGCTTGAAAGGTAAAAACATTTTCATGGGCAGGGGAAACTGCATCTGGGGAATTTTCTTGGTACAAAAAGGGCTAATGCATAGTATTATCAAGATTTTTTAATAGCAATTTTTGGGAAAGTACAGCTAACAAATGATGTCTGGAAACTTCTGTCATCATTTGTTTAATTGAAATCCGTGGTCAGTTCATCCTTGAAGTAGTACTCTGAGTGGACATATGGAGTACAAGGCATTGAATCTACAACATAGTTTTCTTGTCTTTTCAGCAAACTTCAAGACAGCAACAGGAAAGTGGGTGATCTAGAGGAGAGAGTCAAACAGCAAGAAGAGAAGTTGGCAAAGTTCAGTGATCAGAACAGAATTGAAGAATGTAAGTACACGTAACTTCTTTCTTTTTTGTAAAAAATGTGTTAGTGGAGCAGTCGGAAAATATTATGTTTGTGTTAAATCTATCAACCTGTATGCTACTGAGTTCTCTAGGTTTTTAAAAAACTCATTTGGACAGGCATATATGCAAGACATTCTGAAATGTGATATTGTTTTATTTCATAGGCTGAGCATCATGTGAATGCTTGTTTGTAATGACCTCTTCTGTAATAACCTGATCTTTCATTCAACAGGGGAAAGGTCTGGTGGAAAGAGTTCCTCCTCAATACTGGAATACCTCAATGATCGTTACTCACTGATGCCAGATGTAAGTAAAATGTTCAACTGTTGTTGACTTTCATGAAATGTTGTAGTTCTTCCCATTCAAGCTTTAATTTGTGATATTTTCTTATGTTATGGTTGTTATTTTATGTGTTGAGTTTCAATTGGCTTAAAGGGCTATTTTGGTATGTGAACATAATATATACAAAGCTCGTGGCTAGAGTGACTGTTGGTTTTCTTGGGATTAAATGAAGGAAGTGTATGAATATTGTGTGAATGTCAATGTTGTGTGCATATGTCTGAAATATACCTTCTGATCCCGTCATTGGGTTGGACTTGGTGCCTATTTATTTCTTTTTCCTTCTGTTAACAGCAAATGTCAAATGACAGTGAACGAGAGGATGACAGCGAAGCGGACAACACATCGCGGACTGACTCGCGGACAGACTCTCGCTCCGACATCCGTGGAGGCAGCGACACTCCGGAGTCATCGTCCTTCCCCCGCGATGTCCACTTCACCCAGCCCTACGAGCCAGTGTACGAACCCCCCTGGGGCGGCAACAAAGCCGGGAGCCCCGGCCAGCGCCGTGCGTCGCCACAGGCGGGAAACACTGGTGCTAGAGAGCCAAACTCTCCCAAGTCTCCACATGCCAAAACTCACAGGTTTGTACATATGGTCATCATATTTCTCCCCCCCCCAGCTGACCTTGTAGTTTTGCTAACATAATTACGTACAAGCTTTTTTTTTTTTTTTTGCTTTTGCTTTAAAAGAAATTATTTGTTTCTCTTTTATAAAAAGAATTGCTTCTCAATTATTCAGGTCCTGCCGTGTGCTGTGTGTCTGTTGTGTTAGAATGATTTCCCTTCACTTATATGAATGACAAGACACTTTTACACAGTTTTTCCCATCCAGGTGCTAATTGGGATACAGATTATCCAGTTTAAAAGACTTTCCATCTCATAAGGTGGTAATTTTTTGTAAAAAAATACATCGCTCACATTTGCAGGTGAAAGGGGCTACATATCATGAAGATGGAAAACATTTGTTGAGATATTTACTTCGAACTGATTGTGAAATATTGATGAGTGAAACAGGTTTTACATGTCCTAAACTTGTACTTTGCTCACAGACTTTATAGGTATGGGAGCTGTGAGGATAACTTTAATATTGATCTGTTTGAAGTGATTGTAATATACGCTATTCTGAGCTCCTGTTTAGCTGCCCTCTAAATTTTCTAAATTTTGTCCATTGGGGCAAAAAACATGTACACTATATTTGCTCCTATTTATTAAATGTCAATAGAAAGTGGCTTTTTTTAGATATAAATCACATTCTGTGAACAATGAGAAATGATATTCTGAAGGTTTTACAGTATTCAGCACCTTTTTCTTTTTGCAAATTGCATAGTGAAATGATTGCAGTGGTGGCCATGAAATGCTTTCAGGAAAAATGTACCTTGCTTGTATTCACCTTGATAAAGGTTGTTCAGAATCTTTGTGCATAACTTCGCAAGGGAATTTTCTTTGATTATAAGCTATAAGGTCTTAATTTTTTTTTTAAAAAGGGAATTTTTTGTTTTGTTCTCACAATGTTGCTGTCTTTTTTACCATAAAATAGTTATCAAATTAATTTTCTCTGAAAGTTTTTACCAATAAGCAAACTAGCTTAAAGCATTGTGGTGCTATTTTTTCCGAAATGATAAACTCTACTGCTAAATTGTAGGTCAGTTTGTACAGACATCTCTGAAGTTGAGGAATCTGGGAGCTGTGAGGATACTCTGCTCTTGATCAATTTGAAGTGATTGTTTTATACGCTATTCTGAGCCCCAGCTAGTTATGTTCCGTTATTTATTGATGTAAGTAAATTCCATCTTTGTCAGAGGTCACATGCCTGCTATAGTTTAAAGTTAATGAACTGCAGTCCGTAATAATTCGAAAGGTCAGTGTCATTTGCATTATTTTTTAAATTTCCCTTTGTAGGTTGATTTATCAGTGAAAAAATGAAATTGTTAAAAAAATGGTGATATTATGGAACTGATTTGTTCTCATTGTTTAAAAAAACCAAAAAAACTCCCATCAGGTTTTCTTTGGTTATGAGCTTTCAACACCTTCTTAAACACTTAAAATTCACATTCCTGAAAAATCACAATTTGTTGTAGCTATTAAAATCTTAGTCGCACTCTTTTTTGTATGTCTCTTTGTCCCATCGCTAAGCTATGTCTTCCTTTAATATGTGAGAAGGTTACTTGGATTTTAATCTCTTTGTTTACCATTCAAGGAATCATGGGAGTTATGAGGATAACTTTGATATTGATCAGCTTGAAGTGATTGTAATATACGCTATTCTGAGCTCTTTGATCCATAATACTAAGTCTTTAAAAAAAGGACCCACTTAAAAGGCTTTAACTCAGTTATCTTGTACTTAACTGTGTGGTTAAAACAGCGAAAATTAATAATGTATCTCCTTCCTGTTGCAACTTGTAATGAAATTAAATACGCTGAGAAAAGGTTATAGTAATGTCAAATTTCAGTGACAGTCTTATGAGCTGCCATTAGATTTTAGAAAAAAGGGAGGGAAAACTTTTTGTAACAATCACCAGGTAGAAATAATATTGCCATATTTTCTAAAAGAAGTATTAGCTAGATTAATTTTCTCTCTAATGTTGTCTATGTGGAATGAAACGAGTTCAAGATTGCATTCCACAGTTAATTATAGTGCCGTAAAAAAAAAAAAATAAAAAATATATTGGACACATAAGCTTCTTCATATGTCATTTTGTCAGACTTCCATAGATATATGAGATATGGGAGCTATGAGGACACTATGATATTGATCAATTTGAAGTGATTGTATTATACGCTATTCTGAGCCCCATCTTGTTAAGTTCCATTATGGATGTCGGTTCTTTTCTTTGTTTGAGAGCCACATGCTTGCGGTAGGTTGAAGTTATTGAAATACTTTCTGCAACAATGCATAAGATCAGAGTAACTTTCAATAGATTTTGTCATTTCCATTTTAGAGGTGTTTTAGCAGTCAAAAAACAGGAAAGATAATATGTTTTTGCCATTAATAAAGCTAAGCTGGTGGTCTTTGCTTTTAAGCTTACAACTTCCTGGTACAGTTTTTAAAAAAGATGATAATCTTACAATTACACAAGTTGATATTCCATAGATGATATATCCATGTCATCTTAAAGTTAGTTAGAACGTCATCCAAACTTTGTACTATATTAAGGCTTCTTGACATGCATGACTTGGCTACATGGATTTTAGTCATGAGAGCTATGAGGATAACTTTGATATTGATCAGCTTGAAGTGATTTTAATATACGCTATTCTGAGCTCTTTCTTCATATTGCTTCTCTGTTGGGTTGAAAGCGAAAATCATTCACTCGTCTTCTTCTTATTGCAGTGTGGAAAGAAATGAAACACTTTGGTAGAAAGTTATGGTAGCTCTATGCCTTTGCTTTCTTAAATTGCCAAGATTCTTTATCTTTACAAAGGGAATTTTGTTTGACAGCATTATGAGCTTTCTTTAGATATAATTGTTACAGAAAGTAGTTAAAAAACTTCAACCTACCACAAGCATGTAGCTCTCGAACAAAGAAAAAATGGAGGTGCTCTTTTGTGGTAACTAAATAGAAACGATATTGCTGTATTTTCAGAAAGAAATATTCATAACATTGATTTTCTTTTAAATGACATTTATACTGTCCCAAGCTCAAGATTGTATGAAACATAATTATGATTCTCTTTTTTCTGTAATGAACGTTACTTTGGAAGTGAGTTTATGTCTACAACCATAGAGTCATGAGATAGATGGGAGCTATGAGGACACTACAATGTTGATCAGTTTGAAGTGATTGTATTATACGCTATTCTGAGCCCCATCTTGTTGGGTTCATATGTGGATGTCAATTCTTTTGATTTCCCAGCGAGCCACATGCTTGTGGTAGGTTGAAGTTATTGAACTACTTTCTGCAACAGTGCGTAAAAGTCGGTGTAATTTGCAATAGATTTTTTCATTTTGATTTTAGGGGTGTTTCAGCCGTCGTAAAACAGGAAAGATGTGTTCTTATTATTAAAAAAGCAAAGATAGCAGTCTTTGCGCTTAAGCTTGCAACTTTTTGGCACTGTTAAAAAGAAGAAATGATGTTCTTTATAAACACATCAAGTGGATATTACATTCATGTCTTCTTAAATTAAAGTTAGTTTGTACTTCATCAAAACTTCATACTTTTTTCTTTTAACTATGGCTTCCTGAAATACATTCCTTGGCTACCTGAATTTCACTCTTGAGAGCTATGAGGATAACTTTGATATTGATCAGCTTGAAGTGATTGTAATATACGCTATTCTGAGCTCTTAATCCATTTGCTTTTCATTTGGTTTAAGTAGCGAAAAATCATTCACTCATCTGCTTCCAATTGCAATGTGGAAAGAAATGAAATACTTTGGGAAAAAGTTTTGGTTGTTTATTTTATGGTAGCTCTTATGCTTTTGTTTTGCTGAAGTCGTTGAGGGTCTTTATCTCTACAAAGGGAATTTTCTTTGACAGATTATGAGCTTTCTTTAGACGTAAAGGAAAATAGAGGTTCTTTTTTGAGGTCACTAAATAGAAATTATATTGCTCTATTTTCAAAAAGAAATATTCATAACATTAATTCTTTTTATATAAGAGTTATTCATACCGACTCATGTTCAGGATTGTTTTCTACATAATTATGGGGCTCTTATTTCTGTGATGAAAGCTGCAATGGAAATGAACTTGTGTCTACATAGATGGGAGCTATGAGGACACCATGATGTTGATCAAATTGATGTGATTGTATTTATACGCTATTCTGAGCCCCATCTTGTTAGGCTTAATTTTGGATGTCAATTCTTTTGATTTGTCGGAGGGCCACATGCTTGTGGTAGGTTGAAGTTATTGAACTACTTCCCGTAACAGTGAACAAAACCAGTGCAACTTGCAACAGGTTCTGTCATTTCCATTTTAGGGTTTTTTTTTGGCAGTCAAATAACAGGAAAGATGTGGATCTTCACTTTAAAGAACTGTTAAAAAGAAGAAATGTTGCTCTTTATAATCGCACAAACTTATATTTTCCATGAATGATAGGTCCATTTTGTCATCTTAAAGTTAGTTTGTATTGCATCCAAACTTTGTGCTTTTTTGTTTTTTTTTGTTCCGCCATTAAGTTATGGTTTTCTGACATACATGACTCTGCGTATGGATTTTAGTAGTGAGAGCTATGAGGATAACTTTTGTATTGATCAGCTTGAAGTGATTGTAATATACGCTATTCTGAGCTCTTAATTCATATTGTTTTTTTGTTTGGTTACAGTATCGAAATTCATTCAATTATCTCCTTGTTACATTGCACAAGGCATGAAATACTTTGGGAAAAAGTTAAGATGGTAGCTCTTATGCTTCTGCTTTTCGAAAGACCGTTGAGGTTCTTTATCTCGACAAACAGGATTTTCTTTGACAGTATGAGCATTCTATAGATGTTACTAAGAAAAAGGAGGTATGTTTATTTGTGGTCGCTAAATAAAAATTATGTTGCTGTATTTTCCCCCCAAAAAATATTCATAACATTCATTTAATTTTTTTTATCTAAGAGTTTTTCATACCAACTTAAGTGCAAGATTGTTTTCTACATAATTATGGGGCTCTTATTTCGGTGATGAAAGCTTCATTGGAAATGAATTTGTGTCTACATCCATAAAGACATGAGATAGATGGGAGCTATGAGGACACTATGATGTTGATCAATTTGAAGTGATTGTATTTATACGCTATTCTGAGCCCCATCTTGTTAGGCTTAATTGTGGATGTCAATTCTTTTGATTTGTTGGAGGGCCACATGCTTGTTGTAGGTTGAAGTTATTGAACTACTTCCTGTAACAGTGAACAAGATCAGTGCAACTTGCAACAGATTTGTCATTTCCATTTTAGTTTTTTTTTTAGCAGTCAAATAATGGGAAAGATGTGGGTCTTCACTTTTAAGAACTGTTATAAAGAAGAAATATTGCTCTTTTTAATGGCACAAAGTTTATTTTCCATAAATGATATATATCCATGTCATATTAAAGTTAGTTTTTTTAAAGTTATGGTTTTCTGACATACAGGACTTGGCGTATGGATTTTAGTAGTGAGAGCTATGAGGATAACTTTGATATTGATCAGCTTGAAGTGATTGTAATATACGCTATTCTGAGCTCTTCATTCATATTGTTTTTTTGTTTGGTTGAAGTATTGAAAATAATTCATTCATTTCCTTTTTAGTGCTTTGAACAAGGAAATGAAATACTTTGGGAAAAAGTTAAGATGGTAGCTCTTCTGCTTTTGCTTTTCTAAAAACTGTTTGAGTTTTTTTTATCTTGACAAAGGGGATTTTCTTTGACAGTATTATGAACTTTCTTCAGATGTTACTGAAAAAAGGAGGTACATTTATTTGTGGTCGCAAAATAGAAATTTCTATTTCTTATATGAGTTATTAATTAAATTCATACCGACTTAAGTTCAAGATTGTATTCTACATAATTGTGGGGCTCTTATTTCTGTGAAGAAAGCTTCATTGGAAATGAATTTGTGTCTACGTCCATAGAGACATGAGATAGATGGGAGCTATGAGGACACTATGATGTTGATCAATTTGAAGTGATTGTATTTATACGCTATTCTGAGCCCCATTTTGTTAGGTTTAATTATGGATGTCAATTCTTTTCTTTGATAGAGAGCCACTTGCCAGAAGTAGTTACAGGTTTGTTGGGGTTTTTTTTAGTAGTAGAGGGTTTTACGGCGCTCGCAACTGCATAAGGTCATATGAGCGCCAAGGGGTGGGTGTCAACAGAGAAGTCTTTTCAGGGAATCAGACTTATTCTGCTCACCTCTCTAGCTTCAACAGCACAAGGTCTGCTTCGACTATCAAGGCACCCCAAAAATAGCAGGTCACAAGAGAGTGACAGACATACAAAAGAAGTAGAGGAAAATGACAATAGTAAGGATTAGGAAAGAAAAAGCAGCAGTTCCCTGTTGTAGATCAGGCACAGTTATGAGCGTGACATGAATCAGCCCATTTACAATTCTACTGTGCTTGAACGAGAAATATCCCCCCTTTTGGGAATGGCCTAAAGACACTATAGTCAGTGGCACTACCCCGGGGGGCAGTTACAAGTTTGTGAACGACTTTCTGTAACAATACATAAGATCAGGACTTGCAATAGATTTTGTTATTCCCTTTTGTTTGTGTTTATAGCTGTCAAAAAACTCCCAACAACATGACATGTGTTGTTACAGACTGGTGGTTTTCGCTTTTATGGTTAAAACTTCCAGGAACTGTTAAACAGAAGAAATGACATTCTTTAAAATCTCACAAAGTTGATTAAGTTTACTTTCCATAAATGATATACCCATGTCATTTGTTTGTACATCACCGAGAATTTATACTCTCTTTTTTCCCCATCATTAATGGCTACCTGGATTTCAGTTATGAGAGCAATGAGGATATCTTTGATATTGATCAGCTTGAAGTGATTGTAATATACGCTATTCTGAGCTCTTAAGTCTTTGTTTTTCGGTGTGCTTGAAGCAGCGAAAATCATTCACTCGTCTCTTTCCTATTGCAGTGTGCAAGAAATTAAATGCTTTGGGAAAAAGTTGTAGCTTTTATGTTTTTGTTTTTCTAAAGACTGTTGAGGCTCTCTATCTTTTCAAACAGGATTTTCTTTGACAGTACTATGAGCGTTCTTTAGATGTTAAGAAAAGATGGGGTACATTTTTTTTTGTGGTCATAAAATAGAAATTATGTTGCTGTATTTTCAATAATGAAATACTCATATAACCTTGATTTTTTAAAAAGAATTATTTATACTGACTCAAGCTCAAGATTGTATTCCACATAATTATGGTGGTCTTATTTGTATGAAAAAAGCTTCATTGGAAGTGAATTTGTATCTACATCCATAGAGTCATGAGGTAGATGAGAGCTATGAGGACACTATGATGTTGATCAATTTGAAGTGATTGTATTATACGCTATTCTGAGCCCCATCTTGTTAAGTTCAATTATGGATGTCAATTCTTTTCTCTGTCAGAGATCCACATGCCAGAGGCAGTTTGAAGTTATTGAAGTATTTTCTGTAACAATGCGTAAAATCAGTGTAACTTGCAATAGATATTTTTTTCCAATTTTTCTTTTCTTTTTTTTTTTGCAGTCAAGAAAGCATAACATGTGTTATTACAATTAAAAATCTCTACTGGTGGTCTTAGCTGTTAAGCTTAAAACTTTCAGGCACTGTTAAACAGAAGAAACAACATTCTGTATAATCACACAAAGTTGACATTATTTAATTTCCATATTTCCATGTCATTTGTTTGTACATCACCAGAAATTTGTGCTTAAAAAAAATCCCATCTTTAAGTTGTGGCTTCCTGAAATACATGGCTTGACTACCTGGATTTCTTTCTCAAGAGCTATGAGGATATCTTTGATATTGATCAGCTTGAAGTGATTGTAATATACGCTATTCTGAGCTCTTGATTCATTACATTTTTTTGTGTGCTTGAAGCCACGAAAATCATTCATCCATCTCCTTCCTATTGTATTGTGTAAAGAAATGAAATACGTAAGGGGAAAAGTTGTGGTAGTTGTTTTGTTTTTCTAAAGATGTTGAGGTTGTTATATTTCTACTAAGGAAATTGTCTTTGACTGAATTATGAGCTTTCTTCAGATGTAAAGACAAATGGAGGTGCTTTTTTGTGGTCACTGAATAGAAGTCATATTGCTGTATTTTCAAAAAGAAATATTTGTTACATTTATTTTCTTTTAGAATATACAGACTCTAAGTTCAAGAGTGTATTCCACATAATTATGATGCTGTATTTTGTGTGTTGAAAGCTGTGTTGAAAGTCGGTTACTGTGTCCATCCATAGAGATATTAGATGAATGGGAGCTATGAGGACACTATGATGTTGATCAATTAGAAGTGATTGTATTATACGCTATTCTGAGCCCCATCTTATTAGGTTCAGTTATAGATGTCAATTGTTTTCTTTGCTGAAGAGCGCTTGCCTGCTGTAGTTTAACATGGTTGAATTGCTGTCGGTAACTATGCATTTAGATTTGTGATACATATTTCTTTTTCATAGATCGATGTGCAGTGTAATCTTTGTAAAGGGTCTTTTGCTCTCCGACATGTGACTACTTATAATATTGATTAATATCTAAAAAAATGAACAGGAGAGCATGAGCTATGAGGACAACATTTTATATTGATCATTTGACAATGATGTATTTATACGCTATTCTGAGCTCATGCTGGTTTCATTGATTTAATTGAAGTTTTTGTTTGTCTTTCCTGTCCGTCCAGCAAGTTATCTTTCACTGTCTTATCCTTTTTGGATAAGTTTATGAAAAATCTTTTCGCAAGGGTCAGTGGTGGTTTAATTCTCAGTGGAAGTACCATTTAATTCTGAATGTTTTCTTCTTCTCTCCCAGGTTTATCGTCAAGTCTTTCCAATCACCGTACAGATGTAACTACTGCACAAGTTTGCTGGTGGGCCTTCAACGACAAGGCATCACATGTGAATGTAAGTGAGCTATCTAGGCTTTGCTTATGGCTTGGTGTAAAACTGCTGTAGGATTTTTATTTGTCCCTGAAAACATTTGACATGAGTAAGAAATTAGTTTACTACATTGTACATTTTACAAATAAAATTGTTTGAGTGTCTTTCTTTTCCTATTTCAAGCTTTGTGTTCTGTGATTTGGGCCAATGGCTTACACAGTACCCATTGTTACGCGTAATTTTCCATGATATATTTTATATTTTAAAAAATATGTTTTTTTTCTTCTGCTCATTCCAGCATGTGGATATTCTTGTCACGTTGCGTGTATGGATAAATGCCCTCAACAGTGCCCGGTGCCACCTGATTTAAGTAAGTAGTTTTATCTGTTGTTGAAGTGTACGGTATATTAACAGTCTAAATGCCTTATTTGGTCGCTTTTAAGAACACGCGGCTTTCCAAAAATCTTGACCTATATCAAAAGTGGGCCCACCCAGTCCACTTATAATAGAAGTTTGGTTTCATTGGTGTGTATGTTTGTTTGGTTATAGAGGAAACTCTCCTTGTCATTTAAAGAAACTGAACAAGACGCAAAAACTTTCTTCGATTTTCTCCAAAAAGCATTTTTCGGGATAGCCCCCTTGTGCTTAAAAGAGACCATTTGTACTTGTATTTCATGTTTTTCAAAGTTTTAATTGTCATGGATAATCAATATCAGTTGTGTGAAGGGTGTGTTATAGGCTTAACTCACCCAGTCCTAACACTGATAAAATCGGCATGCACTCGCAACGCTCCAACCCTAACGCGGACAGTATCGGTATGGAAAATTGGGCTTTGTTATAGAAAACACTACTTTTGTGTGAAGCAGACTATAGCCTAATTGGAAGAGTAACCATTTTTCGTTTGAAACAGACTATGACCAGAAATGCAAGCCCAAATTTAGAACAAAGAAAGCTATATTCCTGAACCATGTGAGGGGGTGTGAAATTTGAACGCACTTCCTTTCCTCGCTTTTTGTTTACTTTTTTGACTCTGTATATAGACCCTCTTCCACGGAGTATTGCATAACAACTATGACATAATTTGCCTTCAAATTTTCAAAACACACAAATAAACGTTTAAATAAAATGTGTACCAAATTTGGGTAGGATATGTTAAAATTTAGTATTTTGTTCAAAAAGTAAAAATTTCCAGGGAGAGCTGACAACCCGGAAGTGTAGGCCTAGGATTGAGTGAGTTAAGGAATGGTTGTTACTTGCATGTCACATACTGTCGAAATGAATGAAATTCTCTTGGGGAGGGGGAGGAGAGAGAAATTGATTTTCACTGTATTTGTTGGAAAAGCATCTGACAATCGTCAGCCTTTTCATGCCTTAATTATGCAAGAGTGCTGTTGTCCTTAAATTAAATAATTTGTATGGACAATATTTCAAGTATCTCTGTCTTAAGTTTTTGATGAGAATTGTGTTCAGTATGTGAAGCTGGGTTTACGAGGTTGGATTCTGTGGTGAATCTATAGCAATTATTTAATAGACAGTTATTGTATTTGTTATATGACATCCTTTCTTTGTTTTTTTGTTTTCTCACAGCAAAACGTCCATATGGTATTGATGTAAATAAAGGCCAAGGCACAGCGTATGAAGGATTTGTCAAGGTAAGCTCACTAAAAATGTTTTGTAATTTTCTCAAATGAATCTAAATAGTACATTGGTTTTTTGAAACTGGTATAATTTTGTATTCTGTTGTAGTAATTCAACTCTTGATATTTTATTTTCAAATTGATTCTACATTACAGATTTATGTATGTGAATGGCTGGCATATTTTCTTGTCTCTTAGTTTTATTAACCTTTGTGTTTCGTAGAATTTGTAGGCAAAAATTTCTTCATTATCAAGCTTTTGTATAATTCGTTTTGTCAGATCCCTCGTCAAGGAGGCATCAAGAAAGGTTGGGTGAGAGAATACATGGTGGTCTGTGATTTCAAGCTGTTTCTGTATGAGATTCCTGCCGACAAGAACTGGCCGAGTCAACAGGTTCAACAGATCGTGGATATGAGGTAATGGGTTGAAAAGAAGAACTAGTCCTCTAGGCACTCTGTTATTGCTTCTTATTTCTCTTTCTGAAACTTGGCAGTAGTTTTTCAAAGAAATGTTTCTTCTTATGTTACTCTAGGTCTCAGGGGTTCTGTGTCAAAGAGTTCTTTTCTAATTTGGAGGGAGGGGTATCTTTATGCAAGATTTGATTTGATAAAATACTTGTTATTAGTCAGTGAAACAGAATGATGATACAATGCATTTATAAATTGCATAGTCTGCTAGTAGAGTTAAGCTTTCATGAAATTTGTTGCTTTTTGCATGTCCTAATTGAAGTATAGAGAAATTGTGTTTTCTAAGGAATGAAATGTCAACAATTTGAAAGTGCCATACCAGAGTCAAGATAGATACTTGTTAATTTGTGGTTTTATAAAGGTAGCACCTTTTTAAAATTTGATCTCGAGGTTTAGTTTTTTTATGTCTGAAGTTCACAAGCTACAGTAGTTACATTTTTTTGGAAAATATGGAGGACAGGAGCGCTGAGGACACTTATTTTGGATTGATCATTTGACCATGATTTATTTATACGCTATTCTGAGCTCCTACCTGCCATGTGAACATATTTTGTGATATTTTCATTTCTTTATCTTATTACTTATTGTCCAGTCAGTGTGTAATGTCTGTGATTCTGTTCTATAAGGTAAGGTTGTGAGATATTTATTTGTCAAGTTGTTGAAAAGGTGAGGAATGTTCATATTGTGATTTTAGGGGGATTTTGTAGCTGAAATGAAAGAAATTGAATGGTGGAGAACCTCTAGTTTTTGACTGCACTTGCATTGAGAATGGTTCTTTACAAGATCATCTGCATAAACTTCAGAGCATGTTTCTAATGTTTTGTTTTCTTGTTCTAGGGATGAGGACTTCTCAGCAGCAGCGGTCTTACCAAGTGATGTCATTCATGCCAACAAGAAGGATATTCCATGCATATTTCGGGTACAGAGCAATGTCTTTTTTAATAATGAAATTTGCATTTATAAATGTTTATGTCAGCGGCTTTCATTTTTTACCCAGAACCTTTTGTTCATATTGCCTTCTTTGAGTCAGATGAAATGTTTTAAGTAAGAAGACATGTTTTGACTGGAGTTTGGTTGGTCTCTCTCTGTAAGAAGATGCAAATTGAAGGTCTGCTGTAATTTTTTTTTCTTCTCATACTCGTTTACAGCAGCATCCATTCAATGTCCTACAATAAAATGTTCTTTTTTTATAAAGTTTCCATTATATTATGTGAGGCTATTGGGAAGGGATTTTCCATTTATAATGTTTCTAGTATTTTGTTGGGATAATTGTGCCTTCAGTTTGACTTGTTCATGCTTGGGGTAAAGTAATTTTTGCAATTGTGTTGTTGATTATTTCAGGTAACAACCTCTGAGATGAATCCTCCTGGATCCTACCACCAAATTCTGTTGCTGGCAGACAGTGAGAAAGAAAAAGACCAGTGGTTGGGAATTCTCACCAACCTGCACAAGATCTTGCGGAGCAAGAGACTGCCAAATAAGAGTGTAAGCCTTTTAGACACAGTCCTACTTTTTATAGACTGATTTTGTTTGGAATAGCACTATTCTTTGCAATGTGTGATTCTTTGTAAAAAAAACCTTTTGATTTGATTTTGGTTTATGAATACATGCATAAGTATAGATAGATATGTTTCCGACATTGAAGCAAACAGTTTTTTGTTGGTTTTCTTTCTTTTTCCAAGAAAATCTCTTCATAAGAAATGCTTTATCTTAACTTAATCTGTAATAAGAATGAGCTCTTTTTATGTGTTGGATAAGTTGTTCATTTACTTTCCTTGGTGTAGGTTCAGTTGTTTTGGAATTCTGAATTGTCTTTATATTTGTTGTTGCAGGTATATAGCGCTCAAGAAGTTTGTGATAATTCTCTCTCTTTGGTGAAAAGTACGCACTGTGCTGCCATATTAGGTGAGTTTTTGTGACATCCGTTTCTTTTGAATTTGTGTTATTTATTGTGAGCCCCCCAGGGTAGTGCCACTGACTGTTGTGTCTTTAGACCATTCCCAAAGGGGGGCATTTCTCGTTCAAGCACAGTAGAATTGTAAATGGGCTGATTCATGTCACGTTCATAACTGTGCCTGATCTACAACAGGGAACTGCTGCTTTTTCTTTCCAAATCCTTACTATTGTCATTTTCCTTCTACTTCTTTTGTATGTTTGTCACTCTCTTGTGACTTGCTATTTTTGGCGTGCCTTGATAGTCGAAGCAGACCCTGTGCTGTTGAAGCTAGAGAGGTGAGCAGAATAAGTCTGATTCCCTGTAAAGACTTCTCTGTTGACACCCACCCCTTGGCGCTCATACGACCTTATGCAGTTGCGAGCACCGTAAAACCCTCTACTATTTAAAAAAATAAAAATATTATGAAGGTACTTTTGCCTTGTCGGCTTCTTCTGCTAAATTGATAATCAGTTTCAGTTAACTCACTCAGTGCTAGGGATGAGAAATTTTGTTAGACAGACCCCTTTTCACATGCTGTCAACAAGCAAGCTTGCTTCCTGCTTTGTCTTTGAAGAAAAATAACTTTATTTTAGAAAAAACCAAGTGACTAAAGCTGGCATCATGCATTATGGGAAAGGTGAAGGAAAAGTTATTCTTCTTCAATGGCTTTTGACCCTGCGCTCTTGAATTGGTTTTGACCAGCATCTGTGATGTAATAGTTAGGCGTTTGACAGTCGCAAGCAGGAGACCCGAGTTCTTTTTCTGAGTGAGCAGAATTTTTATATAGTAACTAGGGTCTTTCTGCTGGGATATTGTGTCCGTCTCAGCCAGCATTGGCCTTGACAGGCAGGGTCGGAAGCCCTTCTCAGAAGTGATGTAAATTTTAAGGATGGTATAAAAACACAAAAGATATTCTATTTACAGTGGTTTTGTGAAAATTTGTTGAAATGCTGCTTCTGGACTGTTTGAAGCACGCTGCTCTCAAGATACATATGTATGGTGAACTGAAGGATGTTATCTTTGATTCTGAACCAGAAGAGACTAGTATTGATATTAGTATGATTACTAATGGCATAGAAATTTACTGTGAGCAGAAAAGTCAGACAACCAGATTCACACTATTACCAGCTTCTCAAGATCTTTCTATTACTGGTTTTGTGACCTTCATGTTGATCTCACCTATTGAGTTGGATTTACATTGCTATTCAACCGAATTAACATAAAGGTAAAAAGGAAAATGCATGAAGATATGTTTCATGGTTTTTACATTTTATGGTTATTTTTCCGAGTCAAACCAGTTATGAGTAGCCATAAACACTTTCCAGCATGGAAGTCAAGTTCACCATTGTAGAGCTCAGTATTGAATAAGTTGAGGGGTATTTTCATTTGAAAAACAGTTTTTAATCCAGAATTTTCAGGAAATGGTGTACAGTAAAGTCAAGACTGTTTTTATGTTGTTGCAAGGATTTGGTCTACTTTGCTTACTGGTTCCTTTTATCAATGATTGGTGTCTTTAATAAATATTTTTGGGATGTGTATTTTTCAGATTCTTCCAGAATTGTTTTGGGCACAGAAGATGGTCTTTATGTTGTGGATCTCAGCAAAGACCGTAAGTGTTGCATTGCTCTTTCATTTTATCGACCGTAGGATTAAAGCCAAAATACAAACATTTAAATGGCACTTGTTTTTTTTTAGAAAGGGTGTCTGGTAGCCTCTGTCATGTGCTGATATTGAATATCATTTTTTTTTCAAAGTTGCCAATTTTACTGTTCTGTGTATTTTTGTACTGAGAGCTTGTCTTATTTTCTTTAATTATTTTTTGCTTTATAGTTATTTGCTACAAAGATAAAAAGAAAGATTTTACACAAGTGCAAAACCACCTTTTTGTACAAATGTTTCTGAAAAGGGTTGCTGTTATTTCTTCCCACATTTAGTGAAAGTATACATATTTACTTTTCAGTTTTGTGTCTGAAAGTTGTCCTCAAAATTATTTTGACCTCAAGAAAAGTGACTTGACACGTCTGTTTTGAAGGATTCTCCTGAGACAAGATGGTTCATGGTATTTTGTTTTTTTATTCGCAGAGCTTATACGGATAGGTGACCGGAGTGAGAAGAAACAAGTCTACCAGATTGAATTGGTGCTAGAGCTACAGCTGGGATTGATAGTGTTCATCAGTGGTAAGTTGTATGATGCTTTTTCTGAAGTTGATGGATGGTCTGATGTATTCAGCCTTTTTGATCTCTGGCAATATTTGTTATATTAGGAATAAACTAATACTTAACCACTGTTGCAATGCTGTTCTCACAGAGGAGTTTAGAAACTGTTTATGCTTGTCTCTGCAAGGAAATTGTACTGGTCAAACTGAAGGTGTCATATATTTGCTAGAACATGTTTGTTTGTGTATCTGGATAGGTGTAATGGAATTCCCATTGGTTAGTTATACGATTTAAAAATTCGATAAGTTTTTCCTTGTTTAAAATGTCATTATCAGAATTCATTTTGTATGTGTTGAAAATGTTATTAAAGTCATTCATAGAGTGGATCAATGTACACATATGTGGTTACTGGATCCAGAAACAGTCCAGGTGAGGGAATCTCATCAGTAAGAAGATTTGTTGTTCAAAGGTTGTAATATCACATTTGAATGATGGGGTATATAAAGGTTCTGATATCTTTTAAAAGGAAATGTTTCAACTCCACTCATGAATTAAATGAAACTCTTCAAAAGCTAATATGATATTTTTTTGTCTTCCTACAGGCAAACAGAGACACATTAAATTGCTTCATCAGTCTGCCCTGGAAGGACATGACACCGATCCGTTAAAGATCAACGAAACCAAAGGGTGCCACACATTCTGCCACGGAGTCATACGGCAACCTCAGAGTGGCAGCTCTTGTGTTCTTTGTGTTGCTATCAAGAGGACTGTGCAGGTTTATGAGATCAACAAGACGAGGCAAAGATATCGGAAAATGAAAGACATTCAGGTGTGGAGCATATGATTTTTAAAATGTGTGGATTGTTAAAACACAAATTTTTGAAATAAAAAAGCTAGTTTGCTGTTCATCGATACTGGTTCGTTCAGTCTTGAAATTTCTGTTTGTACCTTTATTGTTTTGTGTGGCTAAACTTAAGTCTATGGTGGAATTTCTATAATAATGTGTGATATAATGTTTTGACTTTTAAGATATTTTATCAGCTTTGTATCTTGTTTATCGTAATGCCAATTCCAATAATTGAAGTCTTGAGCACATGAATGACATTTTGTCCATTTTAAGTAAGTACTGTAAATGCTCATCTGTCCAGCTTTCAGAATCCACTCTTTTATTTTTGTTTACGATGTAGTAAAAATCACTTTCATTTTTGATGAAGTATACGTATTATTTGTTCCCATATTTGATTAGTGGTATCCCATTTGCTTTTCTGTTTAAATCATGGTGACTAACTGGTGAAAAACTTTGTGTTCAGGTGCCTGGTCAGGTGGAGTGTATAGAGATGATGAGTGAACGGCTGTGTGTGGGCTACCCTTCCTGCTTTGCCATTTACAGTGTGCAAGGGGATGGAGCTCCAATGAGTAAGTTGAAGTGTTGCTCTTGATTGTTTTCACTGGATGTTGCTAAAACATTCCCACACTTTCTTAACGTAGCAATAAAAATGATAAGCAGTTTTGTGGTGAATATGTTTGAAGGTTTCTTAGTTTGTCTTTTAAAATGAAGTTGCAAGATTGCAATGAAGGGTGAAAACGAGTCAAAATTTATACTTTGGTCAAGCAAATTTTCCCTAATGTTGTTTTCTCATATCATACTTTAAAAAAATCCTGTTTGTATGCATGAATTTTCTTTTCATTTTCAGCTCTGGTGAACACAGATGACAACAGTCTTGGTTTCCTGGTACAAAATCCCATAGATGCCATGTTGGCTGTGGAATTGTCTCCAAGAGAATACCTACTTGTATTTAACAGTAAGTTCAGAGATGAAACAGATCAGTAGTTAGGAAGGAACCCGAGCAAGAGAAGAAATGCCAGTCTAAATGCATTGCAGATGTTCAAGCTAGACAAAGGAACACAAGTGGAGAAAATAAAAAGACTTACGGTTTCAGGGAATTTGTGCAATGTATTTGAATTCAGTAACTACCTCTGCTTTTTGTATGTTGGTTCACTTCTGTTTTGATTTAGTTACAAGAGTACCCAGATTACCAAATACTTTTAAGTGAAAGGTCTGGGGATATTTTGTGTTTTCCTGAAAGTACAATAGTTTATGCCGTGTGAATAGTGTTCTCTTTATTTGTTTATATGTATTCCCAAGCTCTTGTTGGAAATTTTGCAAAGTTGTCATTCTTTGTTTGCAGTTGTTGGTGTGTATGTGGACAATACTGGAAGCCGCAGCAGGGGAGAAGAGATGCTGTGGCCAGCGCCTCCTTTAGCAGTCAGTAAGTACTCCATGTGGGGTTGGCAACAAAGTTATGCGACCACTCCCATCAGCTGCCTGTTCTGTCCCAGTGGGCCTACCATAGGGATGCTGCCCGACTTAATAGACAGTTTCTTGAGAAGCTTCTGTTAGGGGGAGGGATTTATGCTTAAGTAAAGGAAAAAATACTTTTGTTGAAGGGGGGGGGGGGGGGGGAGGGTGTCATTATGAAAGACTATTATTTAGTTAATTTTAGAACTTGTTGAAAAGTATATTGTGATTACTGTTTTTGTTGGAAATATGTATCTGTAGGAAACTGTGGTAATGTCTTGTATGTTGCAACTGGTAATTTTGAGGGTTTGCTTCTTATTAAAGCATTGTTATCAACTCTTGCAGGTTTCTCATCGCCATACCTTGCCTGCTACTCAGAGAATTCCATATTTGTTTTTGATGTCACCACAGCTGAATGGGTGCAGACTCTGTGTCTGAAGAAGGTAAGTACATACGGGACGGGTTCCTTTGTTTGCTGAGCTACTTGTGTCTTTGTAACTATCTGATAGCTTTTTAGCTACTAATGGGATAGTTGTTCATGGTCAGTGGACCAAGAGGGATGTGTAAATTTTCCAGTCATTTCAACTTTATTTTTCGCTGTTTTCAAGATACTGTGTTACAAATTGAGGATTTAGTCTAATTATGTGGAAAAAAGTCCAGCAAACAGAATTGAGCATTTAGTATTTTCCCACATGGGTGGTAAAATGTTTATTTTTTAGTTGGGCTAGGGTAAAAAAATAATTAATATTCCCCACTAACAGCTTCTCAATTTTATCTGAGTGGCAGCCCTCTTTTTCAGTTTCATTGCGTTGTAGAGTTTATAGAAATTATTTTAGTGTGTAGATTTAGGCTGTTCTGTTTTGGGATAAAAGTTTGATGTATTCTTTATGGTCAAGCGTTGCTGGGTGGGCTCTATGCATTTCATCTCTTCCCTTGTAAAGTTTGTCCTATGACTAGTATTTTCTGGTGTTTTTTTGCAGACAAAGCCACTGAACAAAGATGGGTCATTGAGCCTGTTGAACACATTGGACTCTCAACATATTGTCTATTTGAAGGACATGAATGCAGGTATGGTGCACTTGTTTAATAGACTTTTCATTTGTTGTCTCTTTGAATGCAAACATTTCATTCCTGTTGTTCATGTTGCGAATTCATTTTCAAAACTCTTTTTCAATTGGCAAAGAATGTCATCACAAGTTACTTTTTCCAGGAATAATACCAATAACTGTGGCACTTTTTGTAAAGTTTCTATAATTTCTAAAAAATGGGATTATAATAATCTTTTATATTTATTGGTTGACAGTTTTGTCCTATATGTGCTTCTTTTTTTGGTTTTGTCCAGTATGGTTGAGAAATTTCACCAAATGTGTGGTACCCCATTCATATTGTGCAAGATCAGAATGTTCATCACATTTCATATTCATTTTATTTTCAGAGGAGGACAAACTGTCTGTGATGGAAATTTTCAAACAGAAGAGCAGTCGCAATAAGCGCAGATTTTCTTTCAAAACAACCCAGGAAGACAGATCTAGCAAAGCGTAAGTATTGATCTATATATTTTTCCTCACTTTTTAGTAGACAAATATGTCTTCATCTTTTCTGGAGTTGGGTTCAGTTAGATGTCTGCTGTGTGTTATTTTTGTTTGGACTCGGCTAGATACTCCGATGAGTGTAGACCCATAGGCTAGGAAAAAGAGTCGAGTTTGTTCTTAATTTCGACTACAGTTTTACTCATGGCCAATGCATCTCCAACCCCACTCCCTTCTTCCCACCCTCCCATACTGTCCATCCCAGAGACTGATATGAATTTTCAATTATATCTTTTATTTATGGTGAAGGTTCTCACTACATTTCTTTTTTGTCTTGGGTTTTGATTCTGCACACTTTTTATTGTAAAAATTTCTGGGGGGGGGGGGGTTGGTTTTCTATTTTGGTTTAAACCCCCCCATCCCCAACTTTCTCATTATTTCTTGGAATTTATGGTAAAATGCTTTGACTTGCTTATGAATTGTTCATTAAAAAAATGTATTTCTTGTACTTGAAGATGGAATGGCTTAGAGTTTTTGATACAGCTATTTACTTTCGTGCGATTGGTGTTACTTTTTTCACATCATGACTGCTTCATTATATTTGAGAAAAGTACACGTGTTGATGAAGATACTCAGTGTTCTTGATCCTGTTGCCTCTTCAGCTCACATATCTTCAACTTGTAAGTGTGTGCAACCACGATTTCCCTTAATTTCCCTGAATGATTCTGTTAAATTTACTGCATCTTTGTAAGAACTATCTCGGTTTTGTGTCAGCAGTGAAAACATCCACACACACACACCCACAAGAAACTAACTTGCATAGATGAAAATAATCTGACCATGTACTAATGGTACATCCTGATTTCACCCTGATTAACAAACGTTTTATTTGCAGTGTCTTTGAGTCTTTTATTTTTCTTTCTCTCTCTGAGCACTGATTGACCAGCTTGTCTTGATTTAGTGAACAGCATCATGCTCCAATGCATCTGTCATAATTTGCATTTTTACTTGCTACTGTGCAGCACTTTATACAAGAAGGATACTGAAAGCTCAATTTTTCAGTTTGTAGACTACAAGTGTTCGTATTGAGCAGCAGTAAATCTTTCAAGTTACTGTGTTCAAGGTAATGATAGGCATTTAAAAAAGGAAAATGAATGGTATGTGAACATATTTTACCATTTGTTTGCAACAAGACATATCCGTTGCCAAGAAAATCTCCACAGTTGTATGATAGTTTTGAACTTGAAATCTGTTTTCAGTAAAACTTATACATTTTGCATTCTATCACGAAAACTTTTCCTTACTTTTCTTTTTTTGCAAACACGATGTTTGTATCTTAGACCGACGTCACTGCCCGTCCTGGAGGTGGATAGTATTTATATGTTTGGAGCTGTAGATTACGGGGGAAGGGAATGTTTGTTTTTGAATGACGTCTCTGTTATGTAGAGCTTTGCAGATCACTAAGTGTTCTGAACTGACATTTGAATTGGAAAAGTAAAAATAAAAAATTTGGTAGACACCTCTTTGGAAAAAGTTTGCCTCATGGTTAGTTTCTTATTTCTTATGCTGTATTTTTTTTCTGTAGTTCCATTTGCATTTTAAATATATTTTGAGATGCCGAAATTCAGCTCTGTACTGTTAGAAGTAATGAATTGATGATCGTGCTTTGCAGGTCTTTGGTCTTAGTAAAGAACATTTTTCGTTTGAACTTACTTAGAATTCTTTTACTTATTATGCATTTTTCAAATTGGAAGTCTAATTACTTTTATTCATTTACTCGATCTTTTAGTTTTTGCTTATATATATTTTTGATTTATTGATGCTTGGCATGGGAATGTGTGGACCAGTACAGACATTGCTATGCCATGCCAAAGGAGTGCCTGTACCTCACAATGACCTTGAGTTTTCAGCTAACTCTGAGGAATCCTTTGCCTGATCTAGCTGCATTCCTTTGTTTTGCAATCTCCTCTCTGACAGCCCGGACCGCCGGAATCGAGAGATCTCTGGCCCCCTGACCTTCAGCCATATAGCCCACGTGGGACCCGGGCAGTTATTGCCCTCCTCACAAGGCCCTCCCCCTCCTGTGTAAGACACTCTCGTGACTCCTTCACCAAACTTTTCTAGGGCTTGTGTTCGCTCTTTTGTGTGCTGTGCAAGGAAAAGGCAAACATATTCTGGGTAGATTTATCTGAAGCCTTATAGCTGGTGATATATCACCAGCAGGGGAACACTACCGCCAGTTTACTGTTACTGTAGCACTTTGGAGGGAAGGTTTGATCTGTGCAATTCCTAAACATGAAAGTCAATACAAATGAGGTCAGACACATTTGTTTTATTTCTCTGCATTTGAAAATATAATTGTGGAAAAGTACAATAGCACTTAAAGAGCGGAAGAAAATAACCACTGTGGGGGTGAACTGACTAGAAAGTCAACCCTTACCCACTTTTGTTACTTATAATATCTTATTGTTTGCCTTGAGCCCTGCCCTGTTCCCTTGTTGTGTACCCACTACAGGTTACTTTGGTTTTGACTGCTGTGAAAGGCACCTCAGTGTGCTTTGCTCACACTTCCTCTTTGTGTGGAAAAATGGTGCATGCTGTCTAGTGATTGCAGCTGGGAGTTTTGCATGTGTTTTGTAGCTTGTAGGTGCCCTTGCTTGCAGCAATTTGATTACTTTTGTACAATTAGCAGACTTCTTAGATAGTTTTTTAGTGCAGTACTGTAAGCTTGTAATTTTTTTTAATTTGGGAGGGGGTATGTCCCAGTTGTCTCATTTTTGTATGCTGAGCATGATGGGTGTGGGATAACAGTTTTCTGACTGTAATGAGTGAAGTGAATGATTATTTGAAAAGAAGTTTTTGATGTTGATGTACTCAAAAGAAATGCTAAACAGGAGAGTTATTCTTTTTAGGCTTGTAGGATGTCATTGTCTCCCCCCCCCCCCCCCCCCCCCCAAGGTCATGCTGCTTTCTCTAGCTGCACTCAATAACAATGCTTGATGATTTGCTAAAAAATAACATGTCTGGATTTGAGCACGAAGATTGAATTACATATTGTTTATTGACCCTGACAACACCGATAACTTTTTTTTTAAAAAGCAAAACGAGCATTTAGACAGTAAAACATATGGTGTGGAAGGAAACAATTTAGAGGGCTGATATTCTGTGTGCTCTAAGATTGTTGACTCAGTGTGTTCATGCATGATTACCGACCATCAGTGTTTGATAATTGCATGCACCTTCAGTGATGTTTGGTATCAGCAGATGTGGTTCCCTACCACTTCTGGTTGTAGAAATGTTTTGTGTTCTTTGTTTCCCACTGCCTGGCTATCTTACTTTGCTTTGGGCATTTAGTTTCCTTGTCACCGTTCTTTGGTGTCCACCCATTGAGGAGCGCATTGTATTTGTACTGGAAGAGAAAGCTTGCCTTTTCTGTGTATGGTCAGAGAGAAAAATAGGAGTGATGGATGTAGGTAATAGGAAAATATGGGTTGCTAACTAGTAGTGGCATTGCGATGGTGGGTCTTTGTGTGCCCTGCATTAGAGGAGAAGAGAAACTAATCAGGAGATTATTAAGTACTGTGTTGAGTATTTATAGGTGAATGATGGTTGAGGGAGGCTGAAAGTTATCCCATCCTCATTTGCGAATTTAGATTTTCATCTTACTTTATACCTTCTGTCTCTTTCTTCATGTTTCAGATTTAACTTTCTTAACTTTCTTCATGTTTTCTCCTCAAATCATCTTTCGTCATGTTTTCACCTCAAATTGTCTTTCTTTATGTTTCTCTTTTAGCGGTCTTTCTTCCATTTTCACCACAAGGCTTTTCTTCAAGTTTCACTTTTAGCTGTTTATTTACATGGTTAATCTCAAATGGTCTTCCTTCATGTTTCATGCTCCTCAATTAAATTTCCAATTTCTTTTTTCCTTTTATAAAAACGATATATTCGAACTGTGCAACATGAGTTATAGTTCTGACAGCTTGGCTGTTAAGATAAAAGTATTTTTTGTTTTAATGGACAAAGTGAGAAGAGATAAAAAAACCCAAAACAACTCAACCCAATTGTGCTCTTTATACACCTTGCAAGACACAGACTGTTGCATGAAACCGAAATGGATGAATGGATAAATCTATCATATCTTGAACCAAGACACAGACTGTTGCATGAAACCGAAATGGATGAATGGATGAATCTATCATATCTTGAACCAAGACACAGACTGTTGCATGAAACCGAAATGGATGAATGGATGAATCTATCATATCTTGAACCTTGAAAACTAAGGAATAATTTTTTTTTGTTCCCATGTAGGAAAGAAGTTTTGGAGTGCAATTTGTATTAGATGCAATCTGTAAACAAAATAATATCGACACAATAGTATTTACGTTGCTGTTTCACTGCTGTGACTGGTGCAGAAGAAAAAAAAAAAAAGAGATTGGAATGTGTCTCAAATGTGGTGTGGGAATCTTGGCGTGAAAAAGAACTGGGTTTCTTCCTCAGTGGGATTTGCATGTATTGGCGTGCTGTTTCTTTTGATTTGCTGAACATACAGTTCTCTCAAGGAGAAATAATGTTTTTAGTTGTGGATCCATTTCTTGTGAAAGTGTGGTAGGGTAGTCCTGCTGAAAGGCTTTGTTTCAGATCTGTGAATGTTTGCAGGATGTTCAGATTGAAAAATCTTTGCAAATTTGTATTCTTTTCCCTCTCTCTTCACCAAAATATAAAAATGTAATACTAAACACGTTTTTAATTATACTTCCTACGATAAACATTTAGAGATGCCTTTGTTACTCAAATAAAGTTTTAAATTTTACTTTTAGTTTTTATTTTCTTGGTTCCTTTTATTGATGGGATGGGACTGTCCTTTGTTTGATTTAGTCAAACATTGATAACTCAGACTTGTTGGGACTTCGTTGTTAGGCGTAAGTTTGTCGTTAAATGGTATGTGTTGTAATAACTTGAAATTGATTTCATGCGACAAGCATTTATAATGCTGACCTATTCACCAGTCGTCTACTTTTTCTTATTCTTGGTCGTGACAAGATTAATTTAGGTAGGATGATGTCACCTTGTTATATTTTTACCCACCCACTGTGTGAATTCAACTTCGTGTGACCAGTTTCCCATATTCAATGCAGTCCCTTTTCCCTATCGTAATATTGTTCTTTTCACTTTGTTGTCTTGTTATTTTTAATGAAATAGCACTCAACCTTCAATGGCATAGTTTTCACCACATGCCAGTTAATTTTCAAGCACTACTGACCCTTTTACCTGCTATGGCATTGCATTCTCTCATCACTAAATTTAGGTTTTGAGTTGGCAATACATTTTTGCCAGGGTAAACGGAAGAGCCAAACAGAATTATGATCACATCGTCTTCATTCAATCGTTGCTGCAGGAAAATTTGTTAGATTGTCATTTCTATGAATTCAGTTTAATATGTAATAGGTTTTAAGGAGATGAAGCGAAAATTCTACCCTGAGATCTCAGTATGGGGAATCTGTGTTTTGAATTTTAGATATGTTTACCTTTGATGTGTTCCCCTGTGCATGTCAGCAGATATATGTTGTAACAGATTTGTTTTCTGTCACAATTTCCCCCATTTTTATATGTAGTATTAGTGTGCTTAGCTGGAACAACTGATTATTAATATGCGTTTGTAGTAAAGTTGGAACGTGTATGCTTCTTAATTTTTATGGCAATTTTTACCATCATTCTCCAGAGCATTGTTTAACAAATTTTCTGTTTAAATCCATGTTCATTTTTGCTCTGTTACCATAGACTAGTGAGCAATATCTACTTTTCACACTAGATGTTGTTTTCCAGTACTTCAAATACAAATTATATTGTATGTGTTGTGTGTCTGGAACAGTCTTTGATTTTTGCCATTGTTTTTTGTTTTAAGTTTCCGATTTTATTCATGATTGCATGAACAGATTTCTTTTGTTTTATTGCTTGTTGAATTTTTTCTCACAGATTATTTTTTCAGCTTAATTGATTACTTTTCATGAAGAGCAAGAGATACATAGTGATTAAAAAGTAAACATTGCTTTTTCTGTATTTCTTCACTATTAATTTTATTTTATATGTGTTGGCTATATTGGTTCGACAGTTTTTTGTCCTAACAGCACAGGGCATTTTGAAATTTTTGTTTTTAAATTTGGGCTATAATTCCATGAAGCTCTCTTACTCTTAGGTCTTAATTCGAATTGTTTGAGTTGCAGAAAAATTTGGTATTTTAAGATTTGGGAACCTGTGGCAGGTTTAATTCAAATTGTTTCTTTCCCTATTCCAGAAGTGATCGGCGCTCGAGAGTGATATCACCACCTTCAAACTTTAGCCACATCGCTCACATAGGCCCTGACCAGGGTCACCAAGTGCTTATAGATCTTCCCAAAGTAAGTCTATGTTTTTTTTTTGTTTTGTTAGAACTCTGATGGTATGCGTCCCGCCCGCCACCCCTCTCCTATTTAAGACCTTTTACTAGTACAGTAGTCTCCGCCTAAGATCACGGTGCTTGGGAGCAAGGAAATGCAGGATCTTAGGCGAACCGGGATCTTAACCGACGAACCCAGAGAAGAATCTACAGTAACCGATGTTAAAGCTCACAATCGGAGAAATGGTCTCCCTCCACTCTAAAATGAACTGACGTGACCCCTGGGTGGGTTTATGACACATGGCAAGCAAAGAATGGTTAACTTTGATGACCTATCACAGTGCATAGTGGCATGAGGCATGCCGTTTTCACTTATTATCCTATCATGAGTCTCAAGATCTACGCTTATCCAGTTGCCCCTCCCCTTTACCTGTTGAAAATTTATAGCTTTCCATCTCCGACCGAGGTCTCCCCCCCACCCCCAAACCGCCTTTGTTGTTACACACCATTACGTTGTGAACACACCAATTAAAATTCAGTCTGTCTCGCTCACGGTCAGAATCGCTGTTCCAGTGAGCGGCCGACAGCGGCTCGGGCACATTCCTGTACAACAACTTGCGACATCAGATTACTTTTCGTCAATTGCCAAAAACAGGTCTCTTTTATCGGAAGTTCATTCATTAGATGAAGAACTATAAAAATAGTTTGACTTGTTTTGATTTAATGACCCATTTTGTGACGTTTTTATCATTTTTAGATTTAGTACCAAAAAGGGGCCCGGCATAGTGGGTTTATCCCTGACGGAGATAAATGATAAAGAGTTGAGGCATGTTATTTGTATGGTATTGTGTCTAAGCATCTTATGAGCAAAGGTCATTGAATAGATTTTATTTTTTCTTCCTGAGCTGTTGTACGATTTCAAGGATCAGCAATGTAAGATATGATGTAATCGTAGTGAGATCTGCTCCTGCTTCTCAGTATTGGTATTGATATTGTCATCCTGATCTGTTCCTGGCAAAATGGGGCTCTTGCTATGCTTGCTCGCTGTGGTTGCAACTCATCAACAGTGTGAAAATGATATGCTTATTTTTCGTTACATTCCCAGTACTTCAATGTGGGTTAATAGGATTTGAATTTAATGCTAAATTTTATGGTGCATATAGAAAGAGGTTTAGGTTTGTGGGCAGTTGGATTACGTGTGCCTCTTGTGCTTTTTTCAGTGTTCCCTTTGTCCTGATATGTATGTGGAGAAATGTGGATGTCATTTTACTTACTCTGTGCACTTGAACACATGAGCTCCCTCTTCTCATCAGTACAGTCATGTGCCATTTATGTATACAGGAACTGAGTGGGTGGTTGGCGGATGCTATGGTGTGGTTTGCTCCCTTATTCCTTTCAAACATGTATCCTACTCATCTTTCCTTCTCCTTTTTTTGTGTGTTTATAACTCTCTTGTAACACCTCTAGTCTTTGACACCTATATGAACTAATTGTGTTGCAAGTACCCTAAAACGCTTACTAAAATAAAAAACGAATGAAGAAACTCAAGAGTTCGTTCTTGTATTGACAGACTGGAGCAGCTGCTGGCAGTGAGGAGATGCAGAGGGTGAAGAGCATGTTTCAGCGACCTCTCAAGTCCATTCACGAGGCCCAGATGAGAGGCACGAGACCATCCAGCTCCCATTACAATGGTATGCTCTTTACAAGTTGTCCTCACTCTGTTGATGCTTGGAACAACTTCTGTTCACTGAAATAACTTCCAGGTTTTCTGTTTGCGTGGATGGTTGGCGGGTGCTCTGGTGTGGTTTGCTTCTTCTTTCCTATCAAACATCTATCGTCCTCATCTCCCTTCCTTCTTTTTTATGTTTGTGACTCTCTTGTGACACCTATAATCTTCTGGCGCGCTTATGACCTTATGCAGTTGCGGGCGCCGTAAAACCTCTACTAAAACAAAACAATTTCTGTTTGCTTTATATTTGATGGTTGGCTCAAAGTCACATTGGGGGCTCTTGTGGCCTACAGGTTAAGGTGTTCGCCTCAGTCAATAGGTCCTGGGTTCGAATCCGGATAACGACGGAAAATTTCCTTCTATGAAATTATCTCCTTTCATCTCCTTTCCTGCTCTCTAACAATGTTCTGTCGTCTGCTTTCGTCTCCCCTCCCCACCTCCTTTGCCCCCTCCTCTGGGCTTCTTTCTCTTTCTGCAGCCTTTCAACTGCTCCTCCTTGGTTCTTTATTACTGCTGTCTTTCAGCCACACCCCTGATTTTCTGGTAGGAAAGATCTACACCTAGCCTCCTCGGACAAGGGCAAAAAGTCTCGAAGTCTCGTGTGCAAGTGGTGCACGTTTAAGATCCCTGGTGGTCCAAACTCGATAAGAGTAGGCTGCGGTTGGCGCCCGCGCAAAATTCAAAATTTCCTTCCAACTGAAAATGTTTAATGTATCCTGCACGCTCTTATGATCGTATGCAGGTGCGAGGCTGTAAACAAACACTTACCCATAAAAGGTCACATTTGATGTGAGGGTGAACAAAAATGTTTTTGAATATTGTCTCTTTTGCAGCTTTAATTCTGAAAGTAATGTGTGAAGTTCTCTACTGTGCAACATTTGTATTTTCTCCAAAATGTTTCATCATTTTGCACTTTACATGGTTATTGATGGTCTCAAGCAGTGCAGTGTTTTTCACTGGTTACTTTTCTTACCCTTGATTGAAGTATTCAGTGTTTGTCATAACTCTTAGTTCTTTTGCATTGTTCAGTATTGTATCTGAGATAAATCCTAACATCGTTGCCCCTATATTTTTGTATGTTTCCATAGTCAAACTTTGATCAGTAGATGACATCTCCTGTGTGTATGTTTGGAAGATGTTTTGATTTATCATTCTGATGTTCATCCGGTCACTTAAAGGGGGATTATGTATTGGCAGCTTATTTAGCCGGGATCATGCTCAAATAGATCTGAAAAACAGATTTTGTCTTTAGGCCATTTCCAAAGGGGGGGTTATTAACATGTTCTTATGTACCAGTAGAATTGTAAATGGGCTGATTTATCAATGTCATGCTCACACTGTGCCGGAACAACACAGGGGGAAGGAACTGCTGCTTTTTCTTCCCTCATCCTTTCTATCGTCATTTTTCCTCTACCTTTTTTGTATGTTTGTTACTCTCTTGTGAACTGCTATTATCGGGGTGCCTTGATAGCCGAAGCAGATTTTGTGCTGTTGAGGTTTGAGAGGTGAGCAGAGTAAACCCGATTCCCCGCTGGGACTTCTCTGTTGACATCCACCCCTTGGCGCTCATATGACCTTATGCAGTTGAGAGCGCTGTAAAACCTTACTAAAACTTTAAAACCAGATTTCAATGATTATGTTAGGACCTGAGTAATTCTCTCTGCCAAATTTTTATTTGACGATTTTCCTGTTTTTATAGGCAGTGCAGGCAGCCGCCAGGAAATGGCTCGGCCTGGAAGAGGGAGAGGTAGATCTCTTCCTTCCAATGCACCTGGAAGGGGAGGTGACGTTTCTTCTCCGACACATCAGCCTACAGAGCAGAGCAGTTTTGAGAAGGAACTCTCCTCACAGATATTTGAGGTAAGGAGTGAAATCTTTATCAACAGAGATTGTCACTCGTTAAAAAAAATGTTTTTTTTTCTTTTCAGAGCCACTTTTGTCACTTCACTGTTTTAACATTTAACATGCCAATGAAAGTTGAAGATATAAATTCCCCTCAACGTTTTTTGTTGTTGTAATATTGATAACGTAAAGCATCCACTAGTTTTGAATTAGATATCTAAAGGTTATTTTAGTGAGGATTAATGGCTTCGTTTTTCCCACCCACCCTCCTTTGACTTAATGAAATAATTTTAATCTTGGCATTTTGAATGTTTTGTTTCTTTCTGAACTTTTTCCACACTGCTCCAAAGTGAGCCACTGTTCAACTTTCTGTTTTCTTGCTCTATTTCTTTATCTTATGGGAGCTGCACACATGTAGTGGTGCCTTGGAGTGTCTATATTAACTCACATACTATGTAGTCTATTCTTATTATTAGCCTTCCTTGTAAACATTCCAGCAGCCCTTTTGTATGCGGCTGTTTACTGGAATGATGTGGTTGTTATCGTAATATGGGATTTGGTCGTAGTAGTGAAATCCCTATTCTGGCACGACCAAATGTTTTTTTAAAAAAAAAGAATTGGTTGGTCGGTATATTATTATTTGAAGTTTTTAAATTATTTATTATAGTTTTGGTCAAATGTGTCAATAGAGTTTAGTGATATATATATATATACACACACATTTCTGTTCTGGTGCAGGCAAGTGATTAACACCCTCCCCCCAAATTAAATTGATCAGAAAAACAGCTGTAAAAAGAAAAGTCTGTAGAAAAATGGCTACTTACTGCTTGTCATCGTCAAGAAGGGCCCTTTTCAAATGACATGTATATTTCAACAGATCATGAATTCGTCAGACAGTGCTTTCAATGGCGCGTGCAGTTCTTGGTCATTGCCAGCTTTCGACAAATCTGAGAGCTAACAAAGGCTGAGCATTGTTAAGGACATTTTGTCAAAGAGTCACTAGTAAAGACCTTTTCATTTGTCTTGGTATTTCTTTGTGTCCTCCGTGCCTTCCGTTTGGTTTTGTAGATTGCACTGTTTGGTTCCCCTCCCCCGTAGCTCGTCCGTATCTGCAATGCGAGTTTTGAAAGGGAAGGAATGAAGAGCGTAGAAAGTTTCTATATAACCGAAAGTTTTCAGGCTCCTTTGACTCTTTTTGGTGTAAATTGAATAACAGACTGCCATCAGAAAGTCCGAATTCAAATAAGTGTTGTAGAATCTCATATTCACATAATCTGTCCCTGCTAGCGGTGAACTCTGAAAACTGGAAAGTTTGTTTGCTAAAGGAACATTGACCGATTTATTCAGTATGTGATGGACTTCAATCTTGTCCATTGCACGAGCTGTAAGTAATTGTAAAATGTACTAGAAGGAAGGATTTTATTTGCTCCCCCCAATTTTAATGTGTTTTCAGTATAGAGCAGCCTTCATTTCCTTACCCACAGAGGCTTTGCTACTCCTTCATTGTTGTCATTTTTGGGTTTTCAGTATGCAGACAGTCGTCTTGCACCAAATGCATTTCTTGCATGTCAGTGGGAGTGGCTGCATCAAGTCAGCAGCATGACAGTGTTTTTTGTTTTTTTAACTTAAAAATTTTTGGATAATGCATTTAAATTTGGTTTGAAACTTCAGTGTCAATTGGCCTTTTGTACGGAAGTTTTTGTTCCTGCTGTGGAAAGCATAGGGATTCTCAGTGGAGTAGAGTAGAATGGAATTTGTTTTTATTTTTCATAGTTTTTTTTTTGTTGCACTTTCTATCAAATTGCTGGTGACACTGTACACGTTAATGATATGCTCTTCTTCACGGGTCATGCTTATTGTTAAAACTTTTTTTTGCTTTTCGTCAACCTGGTCATTTTGTTTCTGTTTTAATTTTTTTATTTTTATGTTGGAATGGGAAGTTGTGACGTTATGTTTTCCTTGGTTGTTTTGTTGCAGAGTACCTTGTGAATAAAAAATCTCAGCTATAGGAAGTGCTTAAATAGCATGCCTTTCAGCTGAAGAGTGTGCAGAAGAGTAAATATGTCTTTAATTTTCCATGCCTTTATTTTTTTTCCTGTGCTTTAAACCGCCTCCTCTTTGGTTGCTAGATGTCTTCCACACTTAGGGAGGATTGAAAAATAAATGAAGTGGGAAAAAGAAGGAGGGAAAGAATAGTTTGAATCCTTTTCAAAGAAGGACTGAGTATAAAGCAAGCATAAGAATTATTTACTCATTATGTTAACTGTACCTTTCACTGACTTGTGTGGTATACAGTTCATAGGTGGTTTTATTGTCCTCCTTAGATGTACAAATAACAAATACATGGTGATGTTATGGGAAAGCAGGTGGGGTATTCTACTGGCCCGTGTAATTCAGGTGTTTATTTTTGTCAATACCTGATCTTTGGAAATACACAAGTTGTCGTTTTATCATAACAATCGATTGTTTTGAACTTGAACGTAAAACTGGAACGGGAGAATGAATCACCCTGTATTGAAACACTGAGACCATATTCAGCCCCCTTGTTCTCCGTGTTTGGCATGCTGTAATAACTGTTGTTGGAGTTAATCATGAACTCATATAAGGGGCACTACACTCTCCAGTAGTATCTGTAAAGGCCTCAATCAGTACCACTTCATGTTGTCCTAATATATGTTCTTCTGATGTTTTTTCTGCCGTATGCTGTTAAAGCTCAGGGAAAAGTTAAGGAAATGCAAGGCTGCTCACCTTGTTATGTGAACAATGAATTGCAAACTTTTTATGGGGACATTTCATTTTACTGACCCAAAAAAGGAGTAGCTAGCAGCTTTATCCAGAATTTTGAAATGTAATATAGTTCAGAAGCAATTTTTGATCCTCATATATTCAGAAAGATTCTTACAATTTCAGCAAAATACTGCTGTCTAAATGGCGTTGCTCTTTATTTCTGTGTAAACACATTTTTGTTGTTGCTGAATTGCTTACTTCATCATGTAGGAGCAGCTGAGCCAGTCGTTGGAAAGGTCTGGATGAGGAGATACAAGTCTTAGTAAAATCTTTAGAGTAATGTGAAACAGGTGTTGTACGAGAGTGTTTGAATAGAGTAAATAATTTGTGGCATGAAAAAAGGAACAAGGCGTGTTGAAATTACTTCCACCCTTGCAAATTTTTTTGGTATAAATTACTTGGATTTGGTGAGTAATGTCAGGTTGGCAGCAGTACTGAAGTTAGGTTTTTGTTACTACTACTGAATAGTTCTCTTAAGATGTATTTGTTTGAGGGGATCCAATTTTGTCAGTCTCTTTCACACAATTATCCAGCAGTGGGTCTTGCTGGACATCATGCATCTGGTTTTGTTGTAAGAGAGTCCTGAATGTTAGTATGGAAAGAATAGAGTGAAGCGAAAGGTGTAGCGATTCAGAATGGAGTATGGCAGTGTAATATTTGTATAATTTGCTTGAGGTGTCAACTCGTGCTTCTCGGCTGCTGATTAAATTTTTCATTGTTTTTTTTTCTTCTATTTTTAAGAAAAATCTTCTTTTCATTGTTTTATCTAATTTTTAGGCCTACAGCAAGTCAGAGGTTATTTTGCAAAGACCACCTTAAGAAAGATGATGTTAATGCTGCTTTGAATTAATGCTGCACTAACTCACAGTGGTCAATGGCAGTGCTGAATGTATTGATCAGATCTAGCCATATTTCTGAAAGAATGATGAGGTTCAAGTTTCACCTGCGCAGCATGCTGTTTAAAATTTAGTCTTTTTTCTGCGTCATTAAATATTTATATATAGCTTCAGTAGTTATCACCATCTATATATATTATATTACTTGTAGTTTGCATAGAATGCAAAAGAATTTTTAAAATGGATGTCAATTGCTACCCTGTTCATGTAGGTTGCACTTTCTTGTGCTCATGATACACCATTCTGTACTTTTAATGGATGCACGCTTATTGTGTGCCTCTTAATATCAGTGGGTAGTGTACTGGGCCGGACTGTGGCATAGGTGTACTGCAGAACTCTCATTTCCGTTCAATTTATGCTGAGTACATGTTTCGGATCTATGGGGGGGGGGGGTTGGTACAGACTGCAGGTGGAGACTTTGAATGTTCATTTTAAAACGTGCATGCATGTTTAGGCAAATAATATGAATTTAATTACGTTTCTGCTATGTTTAGATAACCATGTGGATTTCTGTTGTGAACATTTCTGTTGGTCTTATCTCTGAAGTTATGAAAACATCCCTACCCTTTTCTTTCAGTCCTTAGAAAACCTCAAAATAGATTATCCTTCTTACCTGAACAGTGAGGTAAATGAGCAGGAAGAATTTTTTCCTTTGTTGTGTTTTAACATTTGCCTCGTGACAATTTGCACATCATTATATCAGAATGAAAACGTTATTAATTTAAGCATTAGGCAGGACAGATTGATTTTAAGATGGTCACATTGTGAATGATATATGTCCTGTGCAGATCACAATATCAGTGTGCAAATTGTGTTGAAGCAACCCTGCACGTATTCAGTTTCACCGTTCTGTTGTTTCTTCCATACTCCTGAGTGTTCATTGCTCTGTAAGTGTATCCATATATTTGTGTATTTCACAACCCAACAACCCTCCTGAACAGCCTGTTTCTGTTTTATCAGATTATTCATTACTTTTCCATGAATATTGCTAATTTCAATTTTGTTGGTGTTTTTTGTTTTTTAAAAATTGGTTCAGGGGGTAACTTTTAAAATATAAACATTAGAGGGAAATGGTTTGGATAAAGATAAAAGTGTAAGTTGGAATGTTCGTTGAATGAATTAATGCAAATATTGGGGGGGGGGGGGGGGGGGGAACTTGGTTTGAATTTTTTTGGTTTTGTTTGATATAAAGGAAGCATCATGCATTAATTACTTGGCATGTGTGTCTGTGAGTGTGGATGTTTTGGGGTCTGTGTGCATGCGTGCGTGCGTGCGTGTATGCATGTGTATATAAATGGGTATGTATGTGCAGTTGTGGTCTGGGAAGAGAGAGCTGAAGTATGAAAGTTTTGAATGCTATTTGACGTAAAGTAAATGTTAATGGGATCAGCATGAACATAACCGACTTCAACGTCCAAATAAGTGGGATGTATGTGTTATTGTGTATTCACTGCATGCTTTCCCAATTTGTTACACGAAGCTTCTTTCGTTGTGAACATACCCTTATAGCTTTAACAGATTTTGTTGCAAAGTATACGAATGTTGAGTATCACGAATATTGGTTGGGAGAAATCTTCAATACATATCATTTGTGGATAATGGAAATGTTTACTTTGAATGATAATACTGCAGTAGCATTTCTTCACAAGTATAGTACAGAAGTGGTACATTGTGTATCCTAAGCATGCTACATATACTTCTGTATCATTCATTGTGGTGGATTTATTTCTTTGTTTGGGATTTCACTGACATAGTCTTGGATGAATTGAAGTGTGTAAAAGAAATGGTTCTAGGTACATTTCAAGACTGTGGGAAGATAATAACATAGTTGAAAGGTATAAAACAGTTTGTTACTGAAAGCATGTTCTTAATGGATCTTATTGCTATGCCTTTAGGTTTGAGATAATGTTACGACTGTAAGGTTTAGAGTAAAGTGCAACTGGTTTTTGTATGTGTATTTGACTTTTCAGTTTTAAGTCTTTTTATAACTGCTGACTAGTAGTACTTGTTGTTTTTTTATACTAAGGTGCATGGAGACTTATTCTTTGAGTTTTCAATGCCAGAGCAATGGCTGACAGCTTAGCTTATAACGCTGTTTTTTGTTATGTTTTGGTCTGAAAATGTACCACTGAGATTCCCTTTGTAATGTGTTCTATTCTTTTGCTGGTGCTCCCCATGATAATACGTTTTCTGTCTGTGTGTCTTCCAGGACAGTGTAGAGCCGAGCAGTCAGTGGCGTCACTCTGTGGCTTCCAACGCCAGCAACAGCATGTCCCCGCCGGGCTCCAACAGACACAGCCTGGGAGAGGACAGCCACTCCCCCGCCAACACCACGGACGCCTCGGACACCTCAGAACAGAACACACAACTTTGATGATCACCACCCTATTCCCCCCCGTCCCCTTCCCTGGCCTCTACCACTGCTTCTTCTTATGCTTCTTAGAACATGTGGGCCTTCCTGCTAGAGGATGTGAAGCATGCGTTTCTGTAGGTTTGGCCCCCCCTCCCCTGAAGTGTGCTAGGAAATGTGAGAGAGGAGTGCAAGGGGACAATTGTCCGCAGACCACTTTACCTCCACGTGCATTCGCCTTAAAGATATTGGTTTATGTAACATATGTCATGTTGACGCCTTGTCTGTGACAGATGTCTGTTAAAACGCTTTCACAATGTAGACGTCATGTTTTATTTAAATACTTGGCCCCTCTCCCCAGTTTGCTTCTGAATGCAAAGGTTAATGCAGGTTGTACAAACTTCACACTAGCACCATGAACGTAGAACAAGTATAGTTACCCATCGAAAGAGTTTTGAACTTTTGGAAGTGTAGCATTGTTTGTAAACGTTTAAGCATTTAACAAATACAATCAAAATCCCGTATAATGTTCTCACAGTAATCCTAATTATCTACCGACCTGATGAGGTTGCTTGCTCTCTACCAATGTCTTGTTGATGGTAGATATATCACACTGGCTTTTATTATTATTATATGAAGTAATTCTTAAAGGGTATAGCAAAAATCGTGTACTTCTTGTTCACATGTTCCTTTTTCTATGACCACATCGAGTCTCTTACCTTTTTACAATGTGCAAATCGATTGTCATTCCAGGCTGGAAAAGGTTGGCTCGTCAAGCCTGTTGTATAAAAAGGACTACCCATAGGAGATTCAGCCATGGGCACTTTTATTTATACATTCTTCTGAGCTTCCAAACATGACCTGTTTGTGCTTTCACCTGCCAAAGTAGAGAATTTGTTGTGCTGTTTCGGATCAAGAGTGACAAGGTTGATGATTTGGGCATTCATTTTCTCGTCTCCACTGCATCCCGTACGTGTTGATGCTTTTTGAGCAAGCTGGTATGGCCAAGAATCTGCTTTTAAATATCGAACGGTACCTTCCTCTTGTTCCTGACAATAAAATGTTTCCCTTCAGATAGCTGCACACTGCTGTTACTGTTTATAGGGCCTTTGCGTCGCTGGCTTGAGTTGTCTGGGAACACTTTTCTTTGTCTCGGCTGTAGCTTTTGAGTTACATTTTCGTACTAAAAATAGGAGAAAAAAATTAGCATTCAGTTGTAATTGCTGCAAGTACTGTTGAGTAAGGGTTGAGTGTTGTTGAGTGGCAAGGCTGGTAAGCCATTTTTGTAATGCATTTCTATGGATGGAACTACCCTTCCCATATTAAATTTCACAATATTCTCTGGAAAGGTAAAATTACTTTGATGATGGGGGACATCTAGGCACTAATTTGATAGACTTTGGGTCTTGCCTGTGTTGAACACTTCTATGAGTTTCATGCTCCGTCAGCCCTTCAAAGTGGCAATAATAATAATATGGACCTCAGAAAAAGTTATGTTTTTTTGGGTGCACTAGACTTCCAACTGCCCAGAACAACAACAGTGAGTTGCCTTTTGTAAGGAGCTACCTCTTCAGCGTATCCTTACCCACACATTACACCACTTGCTAAGTTCTCCTATTTTAATAGCCAGGTCTGATGATTATTTTGTCAATGTTGCTATGCCTGATTACTTCCCTGCAGCTTGATGTCTTATTTTAGGGAATGGTGATGTAAGCTTACCTTACTGCATTTGTATATACATATAATGTGGTTCACATGCTGTTCAAACAAAGGAAAGCCACACATTGTCCTGCTTAACTTCTCAGTACATGCGGAAATTCTCTTCTCTGTAAATATTTGCTGGATTTGTAGTGATGTATTCAACGACTGTAAATATTTGACCACTGTCAGCTTTTGGTGGCAAGCTTTGCTTCATATTTTACTCCCTGTCGATAATTGTACAAAGGTCATTTTTATATTTAAGTCAGTAAGCATTTCAGCTATCGCAGTGTATCATATTGTAATCCTTGTAAAGAGATAGGGAAAAAAATAAAAAAATTAGTTGAAGCAATGTGTGTATATTTCTTGTGTAATTAGGGCCAAGTGGTTTTGGAGTTTTTGTAGAAATTGCTTTGAGTGGCCAAGTTTGTGTTAGTCCAGTCGTGCTTGCCCTGTCATATTCTTTGTTCTTTGAGCTCAGGTCCAATAACCTGTTGTCAACAGTATCTATTTGCTACTCTGTGAATATGTGTCTTAGATTGGAATATGTGGATTGAAAAGCTTGGGTGATGATTGAAATAGCTGGCTGTGAAAATGACTAGGAAAATCTTCCATGAAGTGTTTTATAAGTACGAAATTTGGTAGCCATACTTCACATGTGAGGTTTACTAAAATACAAAATCAATTTGTCATGATATCCTGTATCCGAAAATGTCTATGCAGCATTTCTGGGAGACTGGCTGGTTGAACAGTGTGTCTGTACTCTCAACAGGGTTTTACTGCTGTATGAATTAAAATGATCTGTTGTGTAAATTGGCTCCCTGCAGATTCTCTGCCTGGTGATAGCCAGAGGCAACGCTTGGCTTTGAAAATTTCTATTGCCACATCACAGTCTCTTTTTGACCGTTACAAGCCAGCTATGTTTGCCTTTTATAGAGAAAAATTTTGAAAGTATGAAAGGTTTTATAAAAGAAAGAATAGTACTGGTAAACAGCATTGAAATATTGTCTCCATGTTTCAGCTGTAATCTCATAGGGTATTGGTAAACTAGGAAAGTCTTTTTCCTTTTAAAATTTTAAAATACAAATGAATGGTTTGATTAGATTATCTTGTTTTGATATTGAACATGTTGAGCATGTCGTGCAGTGTGGTGTAAGTGTAGTGTTTTATTTGCTGTCTTTGTTTTATTTTGTAACTATCAGTGCATGATTTCCAATTTTAATGTACAGGTCTCCTTATGTGCAATGATGAAACTCATGTGTACAGTGTTGGCATTTCACCACTTCCGAGCACGCACGATGTGTGAGGAATCATTCAGACTCTCTCTGTCATACAAAACAAGTTCACACATACATATACGCAAAAATACAGTCACATTTGTCTGCACCTAGCAGTCTCTTGACACGAAAAAGGTGAAACATAAATTTTGTAAATAGCTTCATTTCTGCAGTGGTCATACATTGACTTGGGTGTCTTTGGAAATCCCAGAATTTGTCACGGAAACTTACTATATCTATCCATACTATGTTTACAAGGAATTTACAGGAGAGGCTTTGCAGCCATGTTCACTTGCCTTCTGTGGTGGGAAACAATTGCGTAGGGGAAATACAGTCGGGCACAGATAACTCAGGCGCGTCGGGTATTGACAAGTGTGTCCGACTCATTCACAGTTTGGGTATCAGTGGAGAGGTATCAGTTGTGCAATGGCAACTTGTATGAACTATCAATGATTTCAAGTTTTGCGTGTTTGTGGTATCTGTGCCAGTCTGTAGTTGACTTGGGGTGAAGCTAGGAAACTGAAATTTTTGGATAAGGCAAAACAAAGGCTACAAAAGTTGACTTTCATATGTGAGGTGAACGGGTGTAAGATGATTTAATTTTTACCCACAGATGTTAAATGTTTTTATCTTTGGGCATAGACTGTACTGGTATTGACAACACATGATTCCATAAGCCTAAATCACATACATATACTCCTTGGCACATCAAGCAAAAATTGCATGACCACTGCACACTGTATGTTGTACGTCATTAATTCCACTAACATTTCTGTATTGTGAATTTTAATTATTTTTAATTTCTAATTACGTTTAGTATTTTGTATACGTTGAATATGATATGAGTATATATACACATATTATGTATTTATGCTAATGAACTATAAGCGCAACCCTCTTATTCTGTTAGGAGCATTCCCCTGCTTTCAGGGGATCCATCCTCATTCAGTCATTACTCTATGTGCTTGAATAGCTCGCATCAGCCAGTGATGTAAGTGTGATAGCAGGATGTGCATGTCAAGCAACACTCTCTTTAAGAACAACTGTGTCAATTTTGCAATTTTTTTGCTGTTAGTCTGTAAATGTATAGAGGAAAGGAATGAAAAATTGTGTGTCTGTGCTCTTTCTGGAGGAGCATCGCTAGACACTGCTGCTACTGTGTTACAGTCGGGACTACGATTCAAACACAAATTCAACACATAAGGAATAGAAAGCCCCAAAAAGGGGTGGAGGATTGAGGATATAGCTGGACTGTTAATGGATACAGATATTTTCTGACACAGAGTTCATACAGCTATGTACTTCAGTGATATGGTAATTTACATATTTCAATTCAAGAAAATGTTCAGTTCGAAAGTCTATAATGTTTGTGAACAAAAAGAAATATATTAAAAGTTTGGGAAAATAAACATACTTTCAATTTGTTGAAAGGAATGACTGGCCATGTTACTTTAATAATTTCCCTCTGGATGGACAAATTGTAGAAGGGACTTGCTGCTGAACCATGTTACTGCACTGATTTGTCTTTCGAAACAGTAATGACTACACCTCCAGTACACTGGCTGAAGATCCCACCCGATTCTCTCTTTCCCTCCACATTGTTCTCACTCTTGATTACATCACATATTTTCCTGAATGATTATCATGTATGAATTCATAATACACCTTCACACATTTATATGACTGAAACATATCAGGTTTTGTTTAAGTATACAGTTGCAGATGTACAACATGATTGTTTCTTGCTTTGTCAAATACTTGCTAACAACTAAACATAAACATTTTTGGACTGGTGAATGCAGAAATACATATCAGCTAGTTGCTTTCACAGCAGTCAAACATATGCATAAGACAGAAAAATATCTTCAGGGGTATTTAGCATTTATGATTGAAAGAAGGTAGGATAGAACTATGCCATTGAAAATTGCTTTATGAAGTTTTAAGTTTGTTGCATTTTGTGTCAGTTGCATTTGTTGGTCTTTTTTCCAGAAGATATTTCACAGCCTGATCGTATGTTATGCACCAGTAATTTGTAAAATTTTGTCCGTTTTATTTTTCTCGAGCTAGAAGAAAGAAGGTGAACAGAGAGTGTCAAATTAAGTAATTAAAAAGCAATTATGTCCTGGGCATTCATTGTGTTATTTAATACACCAAACAAAAATTGCTAAAAAGGCATTTGTAGAGGAGGGTTGTTGCGAAATGGTCATGTGTGGCATTGCCACAAATCTGAAGGCTGTGCCCAGAATTTACAAATTACTGCTGTCCCTATGAGCCCAAAGTGTGAGATGGCTGTTATTTTTTTGACTGTGTGACCCGCCAGTCTGCCTAGTCTGCTATGTCTTCATACCACACGAATTATGTCTCATGAAACATTTTGAATGAATTGTATACCACATTATCTACTCAACAAGAAACCAAACTACTACGCTTTAACATGTGTAACCTCCCGCGACCCAGCCAGCACCTGGAGGGTGTTGGACTTCATGTACAAACTTCTTTTGTCTCCTCCTTGTGCTGTATGCCTCACTTATGTTCACTCGCTGCTTTTTATTTTGTGTCTCTCCACATATTCCTCCCCCCCCTCTTCATCCCTTGATGTTATGATGGAGTGTGTGTCCCTAGTAGCAAAGCTTTCTTCTGCAATCCTTAGTGGTGGTTCTATTCTGTTTCTCCTGCTTTCTCTGCTTGGTTAGTGTGTTCAATTCTGAGTTGGGCACACTTTGCTTTTTTCTCAAGAGTGCGACCCTCTACTTTTTGGTGAAGTTCTTGGGGGGCCATTCTGATGTTGGGATTGTTCACAAAAATGATAGTGGGATTTGGTGGGGAGAGGTTGAAAGAGGGGAAAAAAAAAAAGATCGTGAAATGGAAATATTGTGATTTCAAAAGTTAAGCTGGAAGCCAGTCACTGGAGTCAATGTGCTGCTTCTGTATTGCTTCATGCAATGTTTCTGCTTGTGACTGTCTCTTCACCCAGAGACAGTTTTGCTCTTACTTTCATCCCTGGCAGCTAAATTTTTCTAAAAAATGGCAGTTTAAAATGAGGTGGGATGCTACGTTACACCACTTACTTGAAAAGTTGCTGTGAAAATTTGAAGGTAGAATGACTCGTAAATAACCTTGTGTGAACTAGAAGTTTAGGTAAGCTATTGTGGTGAGCCATTGCGTGATTAATAGCTGTAGTGGAGAAGTTTAAAATGTTTGTTTTGTTTTTCACTCAGTGTATAAGAAGACAAACTTCGGGGCAACTTGTCTCACATCTATTTCTACCATTGAGTGTGTATAGTTCCCAACATAGTCGACTTCACATGTTCACAGTGAAGTTACAACAGCCAGCCCTAAACTATTCCTCTTCACTTTCATTCTGTCTCCATCACCGTTGAGTTGTTTTTTTCTCCTTTTCTTTAAAAAAAAATGTTTTTGTTCTTTCTAGTAAGTCTGACCAGTTTCCCTTCCGCTATGTTCAGTGGACAGTCAGTCTCTGGCATATATTTTACCAGTTTTCTTTGAAAGGTGAAGAGTACTTTTTTTTGTTGTTTCCGGTCGCCAAACCCCGGCTTGTGGTGGGTCTCTGGAAGACACTGTTTTTTCTCTCTTTCTTTGATTCCTGTCTGCTATCTTGATGTTTTTCCTTCCCACTGTTGAGTTAGTGTGTTTTTTTTGGTTTTTTTGGTTCTCTTTTGACTAGAATTTAAATGCCCTAACATGGTACAATTGACAGTGAGCCTGTATGCCAGGCGAGAGATGTGAATTTGGCAACTGTATGTATTGAGTGAGTGAGCAAGTTCGAGAGTGAAGGAGAGAGAGAGAGAGGGAGAGAGAGACAGACAGAGAGAGAGAAAGAGAGTTGTTGAAGGAGAGAAAGAGAGAAGCGAGGGAGATTATTTTGGATAGAGTGATGATAAGTCATGTGACATTTGCTGCCCTAGTTACCACGATTGAACAAACGTTTTTTCAGTGTCTCAGAGCTGACATCAGCTTGGAATTCTGTCTTCATTCATTTATTAAAATTATCACAGAAACTCACATGCAGTTTTTTAACATTCTTGCAAGTGCTCCTTCTCATATCTGCACATGAAACTATTAATAGCTATCACATGTATGTGTGCGAGTTGATTTCTATTTATATCAGACTTCCACTCACGAGGTAACGCTTTACTACATGAATGTTTTATGAGAGGTGAAGACAGTGCCACTCTTTTTCAACAACAACAAATATGCTTGTGTCCCCCCTCGGCCGTTCTGGGCTATTCTATTTCACTATTTCTCTCCCTTGTATCTGTGTGTTTGAGAGTGCTGCCTTTTCATCTTTTTAGCTTTTCTCTGACTGAAGTCTCTTGGTGCTGTGGGCGTGTGTTTGTGTGTTTGAGCGCTCACGCGTGTGAGCTTGAGAGGAGGGATATAACTTTGAACGAATAGTTTCCCCTGTTTCGAGGTCATAGCTTTCTCCAAATTAATGATGATTTGTATGTGGTATCGATGCAATGGTTTCATACTATTTTGTTTGTACCAAAATACCCTCTGTTATTGTCCAATATAAATTTGTATTATGTCAATGACAGAGCACATTAAATCGAGGAATACAAATGTAGAAATGCGTTGCCTTGTCTTCTGGAATTGATAATTTTGACTCTTTGTTGTTATTTCTGGTTGGTTTGCAGGTGCACTGATATGTTAGGCGTGCTGACAAAATGAGTTACTTCTCGCAATCCACAAATGGAGATATTGGCCAAAAATCGACACTAGGTTCAAATTTGTAGAATTTTTATTGATGCCATATTCTTTAACTGTAATATGCCTTTTATTATTTCATACTTATAAATTGTAAACACTCCACCAAGGTCTGTTAGTGTGATGTATTTATTTCCATAAGGCTTGAATCCGAGAAGTAACTCGTTTTGTAAGCACACTTAAAGTTTTGTTCCTTCTTTTCTACCCGACATCTATTGTCCTTACCTCGCCTTCTTTTCTTTGTGTTACTCTCCAGTAACACCTATGGTTGGTGTGTGCTTTGGTGTGGTTTGCTTCTTCTTTCCTATCAGACATCTATCGTCTTTATTTCCCCTTCTTCTTTTTTTATGTTTGCTACTCTCTTGTAACACCTCCAATCTTCTGGTGCTCAAATGACCTTATGCGCTGTAAAACCTCTACTAAAACTAAAAAACACCTCCACTCTTCGGCACTTGTAGCCTACGACCTGTGTGTGTCGCAAGTGCTGTGCGGGTGGTTGGAGTGTGTTACTGGTAGGTCATACTTCTTTACGTTCTCTCTTGTTTCTGTGTTTCTGTCTGTCGTACTTTTTTCAGCACTTAAAATAAATGACCATTGTTTGGTCAATGTGCTTCTCTTTACTTAGTGAGAGGTTGCCGGGTGCTCTAGAGTGGTTTGCTTCTTCTTTCCTATCAAACATCTATCATCCTTATCTCCCCTTTTTCTTTTTTATGTTTGTTACTCTTTTGTAACACCTTTTTATCTTCTGGCGCTCATATGACCATATGCAGTTGCGAGCGCGGTAAAACCTCTACTTAAACTAACTCTCTTTACTCAAACAGCAGATGGAGCAAGTGCCACAAAACTAAATTAGAACTGGTGGTAATTTTATTTCTTCTTTCCTTTATTACCCAATTCCCAGCCGATTTCCTGCCTATTTTCCAATTTCCTAAGTCTCTGTCCAGTGTCCCTTCTGTTATAAATGTTCAGTGGGCCGTCAGTCTGTGGTGTACAGTTCACAGCACCATAATAATATACATGTATGAGGATCGTTGAGAAGACCTTTTGTTGTTTGTGAAACCAAAATGAAGCTTAGGATCTTATTTTGCACCTGTGGCTCATTCTTTTATTTTTCATCAACTGTTCTTTTCTGTTTGCTTTTTTAAATGTATATATTTGGCCTTTGGGTGAACCCAGATAACTTATTTAAAGGTGAAGATGGAAGGCAGTTAGAAGTTCTGGTCTGATTTTGTAAGTGTTTTACTGCGCTCGCATCTGCATAAGGTCATAATATGAGCTCGGAGGACACACTAAACATTTCCGGTTGGTTGGAAATTTTGAATTTTACCGGGTGGCGGCCGAAGCCTACTCTTATAGATTTTGGACCACCAATGGATCTTTAACGTGCGCAACTTGCACACGTGACCTCCGAGATTTTCAGTGTTGTCCAAGAAG